GAGACAAGAAGGCACGAATCCCACCATGCCGTTTTCGACACTGGAGAAGAATTGTTCCTCGGAACATGCGATAAAAGAGGTGTTGGAGGCGTCGATGTCCTTATCAACACAAACTTGGCCAAGAGCATTGATTCATTCGAACAACCCGAATCGGATGTTTACATTTGAATAGATGTGGCTCACTGCCTGCAGTTTCTATCTTCCTCTACGCACCAACATCTCATTATGATGAAAGAGAAATCGAGAAGTTCTACATGGAGCTAGAGAAGTTCTATAAAGAAGACCACACCTTCTACAAGATCATTGTGAGTGATTTTAATGCCAAGATAGGACCGAGAAGATCAGCTGAAGAACTTCACATCGGGACCCATGGCCTAGAATGGAACGAACAGGGTGAGAGACTGTCTGAGTTCATCATGTCGACCAAGACCATTCATGGGAACTCACAGTTCCAGAAGGCAGAATCTAAACGATGGACATGGGAGTCTCCCGGTGGACAATTCCACAACGAAATAGACCACATCATATTCAATCGACGGTTTTGCCTGACCGATGTCGCTGTTGTCCCAAAATTTCAAATGGGATTGGACCACCATCTCCTTCGTGCAAAATTCTACTTCACAGAGCGGGGAGAAAGGGCTGCAAAGTTCAAAAAGAGAACTCCCAGAATGACCACCAACTGGGAACTCTTTGGTACTATTGCGGCAACATGGGAAGATGCCATTGTTGACAACATTGACAAGGAATACGATCGACTGGTTCAGCACCTCCATGAATGTGCGAGGAACGCCAAGAGAGAGATAGCCACAAAAAATCGCCTATCTTCGAAAACTATTGAGCTAATTCGCCAGCTTGGTTTGGCACATGCCTCAGGCAACCTCAAGCTAACGTCCGAGCTCGCAAAGCAGTGCAGAGATGCAATCAAGGAAGACCTCAAAGAGAGAAGAGCAGAAGTACTGGTAGATGCGGCAGAAGCCGGGAAAAGTATTCGTAACGCCCGCCTGTCCTTCGCCAACTACAGGACCAAGATGACTGCCCTCCAATGTCCTGATGGATTCATCACATCCTCCAGAACAGCAATGGAGAAGATTATCCATGACTTCTACTCAAATCTCTTCGACAGCCATGTCCACTTGCCGACATACCAAATTCCACAGGATGGATATGTTGTTCCCAACGTTCTCCCTTCCGAAATCTGACACGCCATTTCGTCAGTAAAGAAACAAACAGCACCCGGCCCAGACAAGGTCAGACCTGAACACCTGAAAAACCTGCCGTCAGTACTCATCAATACACTGGCTCGGCTCTTCACTTGCTACCTTTCTGAATGCTAGGTTCCATCCCAATGGAAAACCAGCAGGACCGTACTACTGTTCAAGAAGGGAGACATCCATGATATTGGCAACTATCGCCCAATCTGCCTATTGTCTGTCATCTACAAGTTGTTCACTCGAGTCATCCTAAATAGGATTGGCAGAACACTAGATGAAGGACAACCATGCGAGCAAGCAGGGTTCCGCAAAGGATTCAGCACCATCGACCATATCCACACGATAACCAAGCTCATTGAGGTTTCTCGGGAGTTCAAGATGCCGCTCTGCTTAACATTCATTGATTTAAAGAAGGCCTTTGATTCTGTTGAGACGGAAGCGGTCATTGAAGCCCTAGTCAATCAGGGCATTCAAGCCCAATACATCAGGATCCTCTGTGAGCTGTATTGCGGATTCACTACCAGGATCTCACCATTCTACAAAGAAGTGATCGTTGATGTCAAGAGAGGGGTGCGGCAGGGTGATACCATTTCACCAAAACTCTTCAGTGCCACCCTCGAGAACATCATGCGATGACTGGAATGGGAAGGAATGGGAGTGAAGATAGATGGTCGGCAACTACACCACCTCCGCTTTGCTGATGACATTGTTTTAATAACACCAAACATCAGCCAAGCGGCACAAATGCTGGCCGACTTTGACCGTGAGTGTGGAAAGGTAGGACTACAGCTGAATCTTACGAAGACAATGTTTATGAGAAACAGCCTTGTTCCTGACGCCCCATTCGCTCTCAATGGAACGACCATCTCCGAGTGCAACAGCTATGTGTACCTAGGTTGAGAGGTCAACATGACAAATGACCTGACACCCGAGCTGCGCAGGAGGAAGAGAGCGGCTTGGAACGCCTTCAAGAACGTTGAAGAAATAGCTAAGAGGACGAAGAACCTCCGGCTCCGGGCACATCTCTTTGATTCCACTGTTCTTCCTGCATTAACATATGCCTCAGAGACCTGGGCCCTACGCAAACAAGATGAGAACGTTATTCAGGTCTCCCAAAGAAGAATAGAAAGAGCTATGCTTGGAATATCACGTTTCACTCAAATGAGAGAAAGAATCCGGAGTTCTGACGTCCATCGACGATCAAGAATCAGGGACGCCATCTCGTTTGCCAAGGTGTCAAAAATCAGATGGGCTAGTCATGTAATGAGATTTAAAGACGACCGCTGGACTAGAGCTATTACCGACTGGATTCCACGGGATGTCAAAAGACTGCGTGGCTGCCCACCTTCCAGATGGTCAGACTTCTTCGTCAAGATCATGAACGATCGGTTTGAGGCCCTTCATGTTCCCAGAGCGAACAGATGCCATTGGGCTACACTAGCACGCAACAGGGACAAATGGAGACGTTACTGGCGCCCGCTCGAGCAAATCGACGACTAACGGGAAGTTAAGTGATTAAGTGATTAAGGGATAAGTGGCAACTGAGAGGTTTCTCTTCTTAGCCCTGCCTTGGAACTAAAGGCTTCCCATGATCAAAGTAGAATTGGGGTTCTCCAAATTATTGCACAGAATCACATCCTGCTGAGCAGACATGTGGCTAATTATTAATGAAACTTGACCCCAGTTTTACACAAACAGCTCTGAAGATAAACTTAACAGTCATCAAATCAGAATTACACTATTCTTTAATTAGTCTCATGACTAAAAGCAATTTTAAAGTGTTTTCACAAGGAAAGCATAATTTGAGGGGAAGACTTAGTCTACACCTGGCTGTCTCAGGAATAATCTTGGCTCTGTCCTCATGAGTTAAAGGTAAAAGGTAAAGGCCCTCCCGTTGATCGTCGATTTGCTCGAGCGGGCCCAGTAACGTCTCCATTGGAGACTTTGTTGTTACTATATAATTCATTTAAAAGGTCTAGATTGCAAGTCAAAGAGATATTTTAATCTATATTCAAGTGTTTATAAATAAATTATAGGGAATAAAGTTGGATTTTTTTCCTACTCCAAGGCAACTTGAGTATACTTCTACTAAGTTATAGCATGTAGAATGCAAGAATAATCAACTCATTACAATTTTTAAATGAAGTTAAAAATTAAATTCTAAAACCAAAATCACTGTTTCTGACCTGGATGGCAATTCTAACTTAGAAATATTTGACATGATATTAGAATTCTGAAGTTGTTGATTATAACAGGGTTCAGAGTCCTTCAAAGATGACTCAGGGAAAAATACTTTTTGCAGAAGATTAAAATTTACATCTTTTGTCTACTTGATGAGCTTGAGTTACCCATGCTTGCCTATGAGTTCCGAAAGGCGCATGGATCAAGCCTGTTTTATTTCTTTAAGGAGTATTGTAAAACTATCCAAATGAAATGTGAGGATGATACATAATTAATGCTAAGAAATCAGTAGTTCCGATTCTTCAAGAATCTTCTGAAATCTTCTTTCTAAATTCTTGTTTTGGAGGCCACACATAGCTGTTCTCAGGGATTGCTCCTGGATTTGTGCTCAGTCATCATTCCTAGCAGTTCTCAGGGAATCATTGGTGCTACCAGAGATGGAACCAGGGTGAGTTGTGTGCAAGGCAAGTACCTTAGCCCTGTGCTAGCGCTCAGCACCTTTCCGAAGTCTTGGTCTTGGTAATGGACTCTCCCAGGGTGCATTCTCCCCGAACAAGTTATTCTACCAGAATAAGTTCAAGTATTAAAAATTAAAATTAAGTGAAGATCTCTGCAGAGACCATAAGCTAAGGAGTAACTTGAAGTTATGATCTAAAACCAGAAAAGTTCAGGACAGAATTAGATGTAGTTTTCCATGACTGGAGAGTGATTGTAATGCTTACACAGGGGCAAAGTCTGGTTTGCTAGCAAAGAGAATCTGGGGGAGGATGGAAATGAACTTTATACATTAAACTGCAGGTCTGAGGCATTGTCTAGCCTGGGGTGAAGAACAGAACTACACACAGCTTGGAAAGCAGTGAGGATGTTTTCAGTTGCATGGTGAGTATGAACAAGTCAACTGAGAGAAAATGAGAGATCTTGTTTTCCTCCATTCTCATATGGGTGTCCTAATTTCTTGCTACTATTTCCCAACATGATCCAGACTTCACAATTACATGCATACAAATTTAAAAATAATACAAACCACTTTTTATAGAATCTGTCACCACACCCAGGAATAAAAAATACTAAAAGATGGAGACACTTCATTGAATATATGTAAGATGTTTTTGTGATGTGATGTGATGTGTTTGTGTGTGTGGGGGTGGGTGTAGAAAGGACTAGAGATAATAATAGAGATGTTTTAGTTAATCTGTAATATTATTGTTCATGTGTTTCAAGGAATAAAAAGTTAAATTTCAAGGGAAAAAAATCATGAAAAGTAACAAAAGTAAAACAGTAAGTTTGTATACGGTTATGCTTTCCCACCAAGCCATGTCCCAGGCTGTTTCTCTCTTTTAACAGAACTAATATCACTAAAGTATCAAAACAAAAATCATACACAGATGTCAACTAGGAAGCATATAAGGTTTTGAGATTTGTTTGAGAACACTCAGGTAGATAGAGATATTGAGCAAATCTGAGAGAGGGACACAAGAGTCCAGATTCCAGGTTCTCAAGACAGATTTCTGTAAAGTTCCCCAGGTCCATTTGGCAAGTTCTAATTCAACTTCTGGTTTGATGGTCTCATTAATGATTAGCAGCTCAAACCCGGGAGAGGTAATGAGTCCTCTTTTGTCTGCTTACTAAGAGGTGGAGAAAGCGTCAAGGATGATCAGAGTCTACACAGAAACCCTTCACAGACACACAGTGGGTAAGTCATGCATTTTGGTATTGCTCGGGGATATCTCTAAGGGTCCTTTTGATGTCACAACCCTCAGCTTCTACATACCACTCAAACTTCATGTTGTCTTATATTGATAAAGAAGTGAAATCTAAGGTGATCTGTTACCACCTTAACAAAGGTGGAGAGAAGAGAGGTGGGAGTTGAAGCTGAGGTTTTTGTGCCTGATTCTCCACTAATCTCACTGGGGTAGGTGTAAATACTGAATGTTGACTTTGGAGGGACTGATGACAAATACCAATTTTCACCTATTGGAAGAAGCTCAATAATATCTCCATGGGCCAGGAGATATCAAAGCTGTTTGAAATTAGAGCTGTCTAGTACATATGTGACCAGGTTCAATTCCTAGTACCACATTATACCCTGAGCACTTCTGGATGTAACCCTGGAGGTCCTTAACACTGCCAGGTCTGGCCCTAAGTACCTAGTTCTGCTGAGGGTTATACAGCTAATCCGGAGCACCATAGGACCCAAGCAGTAATACTCAGCCCACTTGGCAAAGAACAGAGTGGTGGGGCTTCCAGGTCTCCTGGACACCTCTTGAGATTCCCCCTTCCCCAAATCAAATAGAAGAAAAACAATAATTCTCCACTTGAGGTTTGGTGTAATCTATTTAAGTAGTTAGTAACAGTAGCTGTGCTGACTTTTGTTATACAGACTCTTGCGAAACATAAGAGTGTCCCATCTCATAGGCCAAGAGTCATTTCCTATCTCCAACCCCTACCAAAAGTTTTTCTTGCCCTTCTCAAGATCCAGCTATTCCATCAATGGGACTATGCCTAACATATCTGAAAACTATGAACTTTGTAACTAAGTGTGTTGCCTTAGTTTCCTATTCACCTCAATTGGGCTTGTTATGGTAGGATACTCCTTGTTATGGTAGGATACTCTTGACTTAAACCTAACCATCCCTGCAGGAAATTTGTACTCAGTGTGACTGAGTCAGTTCACATAGTTTTGGACTAGAAACGTTTTAGGAGGCCATATATCGTTTCTCACCCAGGTGGTCAGCACAGTTTTCTGGAACAATAGTGTAAAATAAATGTAGTTATTAGAAGCAATATGGGATTACATACATATGTAGATATACATACATACACTCATGAAACAAATAATGACACTTTGGGCAATGTTGTTGCATTTAATGTTATTTCCTTGTAATGTTGCTGGGAAGAAATAAATTCCTGAGCCATTATGTGGAGTTTGGGAGGTCTTCCCTGGTATATGTGGATTTTCTCTGAGTATTCTGGCTTTTTCCTACATCTAAAAATGTGGGAGGAATATGAGACTCATTGGTGCGGTCCGGACTGAGTGTGTGTATGTGTATGTGTGTGGGGGGTGGGGTGTATATGAGAGAGAGAATTTTTTTTCCGCTTTTTTTTTTTTTGCTTTTTGTGTCACATCCAGTGATGCTTTCTGGCTCTGCACTCAGGAATTACTCCTGGCAGTGCTCAGGGGACAGTATGGGAAGCTGGGAATCAAACCCAGATCGGCTGCGTGCAAGGCAAATGCCCTACCTGTTGTACTATCGCTCCCCCCCAAAGAGAGAGAGAGACACAGAGAGAGAGAGAGAGAGAGAGAGAATCCTGTGATGATAGAAGAACATCTGTCATGGTGGTTGGGTCTAGAATTGTGCCCTGAGCTGTCAAGATAGGCTCTGTCCAACTATGACCCTGAACTAATCATGTTGAAAGTCAAATAGTACAAATTATTGTGTTGTCATGGGTGTTTGCTTAATCAAGAACCCTGAGACAATCCATGGAGGGAGAACAAGGAAGTCTTTATTATACCAGTTGATCAGAATGGTGGAGCCAGGCTAGGCAAGCACCTGAAGGCTTTGACAAAGCTCAGAGGTGCAAGAGCCTGCTTTTATAGGACACTACTATGGCCTCATCATTACTTTGCTTCATACTTAAGCAGTTTGGGGACACACACACGTGATGGCATCTCATCAGTATGACTACAGGGATTTTCCTAAAATCCACCTTTACTTAACTTGGAAAAGGGAAATTCACCCCAAGTGCAGACAGGATGGGCATCTTCTAAAACTTTCCACCCACAAGCAAAATAATCTCCTTAGACTACATGCTATAAATCAATTGTAAAATAAAAAATGCATACCATAAATTTTCTTTATAATAATGTTTCACTTTAATCAGTGTGTTGGATCCTTAGTTAGAAGGTTGGTAATATTACTGAGACCAGAAAATAGAAAATGTGTTTTAGGAACTTTTATCTTCTTTGCACCAATTAACCTTTGGCGGAATTGGTTTTATTAAACAATGTTTTGCTTAAAGTCATAGTTTCCATGGATTTAGCAATGACAGTAAGAGAAGACTAACTTATCATATGCATACACAAAATATATATAACATGTAAAACATATACAACTTACACACAAAAAAGTGTCAAAATGATAACTCTAGGATTTTGTCACTTTTGCAACTCCACTGTCCAAAACTGTATCCACAACATCTTCTGAAGTGACCAAACTTTCTTAGAATTCATATGCTCCCTTGACTGCAAATGTTCTCCTAACTTTCCCTTGTGTGAATCGCTATTTACTATATATGTCTAACTACCTGTTTATGTGTGTGAGAGAAGGCTTATAAAAATCTCCTAGGAGAATGTTCTCCATATCTATTTGGTTTGTCAAATAGTCAAAATTCTGCAGTGGTTGATAGATCCCAAAATTCTGCAGTGGTTGATAGATCCCAAATACTATGCAACGGGACACACTGAAGAATGGGTGAAGGCATGGTAAACCAGATTATGGCACTGTATACTGTCATCTAATAGAATTCAGTGTCAAAATCAAATGAAAAAATTTTGCTTCCCCAATACTTAATCCAGCACAGTAGAACATTCACCTTGAATGTGGTAAAGGTAAAGGTAAAGGCCCTCCCGTTGATCGTCGATTTGCTCGAGCGGGCCGAGTAACGTCTCCATTGGAGACTTTGTTGTTACTGTGTCTGGCATATCGAATACTCTCGGTAGCTTGCCGGGCTCTCCAAGAGGGGCGGAGGAATCAAACTCGGGTCGGCCATCCCGCTGTGCTATCGCTCCGGCCCTACCTTGAATGTGAGAGGACCCGAATTCAATCCCCCACACCAGAAACAAACCAAACTAATCCAAAACAAAATAAAAACAAAGAAACCAAATATTTATTTGGTCATTATCTAAACAGAAGATTACAGAATTCAGAGTTAATTAAAGGTATATAAGAGCATGGTTATATACTGAGAAGATAATTCAATGACATAATTATGAAGTGATGAATTTTAAATATTTATTACCTTTAGAAATATAGTTTAGGGGACTAGAGTGATAGTAAAGTAGGTAGGCATTTGCCTTGCAGTGGCCCTGGGATTCGATTCCCAGCATCTCATGTGGTCCCGTGAGCACCGCCAGGAGTAATTCCTGAGTGCAAAACCAGGAATAATCCCTGTACACTGCCAGGTGTGACCCAAAAAGAAAAAAACAAAGAAATATACTTTTATAAATTTTATATTTTATACCGTTTACTTTCTAATAATAGATGGATTAGAATTGTTTTATCCACTATGCAAATTATGTGTCCAATTATTAGTGACGCACAAATTTATAGCATTCACAGAGGGTCAAACGTGGAAGCTGTATGACAGTCACCAGAAACACTCCAGCTTGGGGACTCTAGTGAAGCACAGTTATAAGATGACCCATTTCTATGGTAGCACTGTAGCACTGTCCTCCATTTGTTCATTGATTTGCTCAAGCGGGCACAGTCACATCTCCATTGTGAGACTTGTTGCTGTTTTTGGCATATAGAATACGTCATGGGGAGCTTGCCAAGCTCTGCCGTGTGGACGAGATACTCTCAGAAGCTTGCCGGGCTCTCCGAGAGGGATAGAGGAATCGAACCCGGGTCGGCCACGTTCAAGGAAAACGCCCTACCCGCTGTAGTATTGCTCTATGGTAGCCCCATCAAAATGGCAGTCAACTATACAGCCCTTGCTTAGTGTGAGGCAAGGACAAATTCTTTTTTTTTTTTTAATGTAGGAGTACTGCTATTTATTCAGCCACTGATTAGGCTGATTGAATTGGGCATGAATGCCACCTTAGTTTTTTTTATTTTTTATAATTTTATTTATTGATTCACCATGAGAGCAGTTACAAAGCTTTTGGGTTTAAGTCTCAGTCATACAATGAAACACCCATACCTTCAACAGTGCACATTCTCCACCACCAAAAGCCCCAGTATGCCCCCATCCCAATACTCCCCCCTACCTGTGGGGCAGATGATTTCCAGAATACTCTCTCTCTAATTTGATTACATTCAATATTTTGACACCAGACCCACCATTATTATTTGGGATTTTACCCCAACACTCAGATCTGCCAAAAAGTCAACAGTAGACAATTTGTTTTCTATTGCTGGTTATGAATAGCATATGATGTCATGCAGCCGCAGTAGTGGCCGCAAAATTTTGAAATTCCGAAATTTAAACAATTAAATCTGGAGGAATTTCTGCCCAAACCTGCTGGGTTCCGAGATTTTCTCCTGAGTCTCTTAGATAATGGCCGTTAAGCAGCTTAATCAGGAGCCAGAGAGGCTGTTCGTGGGAGGCAACTCGGGGTCTCATTGGGGTGGGGAGGAAAGGGCCGGCTCCACCCCCATCCCATGAGGCCCCTGGTGTCTCATCACTGAGGGCTCAAACCTGTCTGTCCAATGGCCTCTGAAAGATGGAGGGTACCGAGCTGCCTAGGGGTAGCAGACGGAGGAACAACACCCTTTCCCCGCTGAGATGACCTGGCAACAATAAACTACTGCTGGGTCCAGACGCATTTCTGCCAAAAGCCGCTGGGTTTCGAGATTTGTTTCTGAGTTTCTGGGATCATGGCCATTAAGCAGCTTGATCAGGAGCCAGAGAGGCCGTTCGTGGACAGCAACTCAGGGTCTCATTGGGACAGGGAGGAAAGGGCTGGCTCCACACCCATCCCATGAGGCTCCACGTGTCTCGTCACTGTGGGTCCAAACCTGACTGTCTAGTGGTCTCTGGAGGATGGCGGCCAGCAGGCCGCCAGGGGGAACAGGCCAAGGCACAAAACCTATTCGCACCTGGGGTGGCCCGGCGCTGGTAACTTACTCCAGGGACCAGATACCTTTCTGCCAAAAGCCACTGGGTTCTGAGATTTGTTTCTGAGTCTCTGGGATCTTGGCCATTAAGCAGCTTTATCAGGAGCCAGAGAAGCTGTTTGTGGGCGGCGACTCGAGGTCTTACTGGGGTGGGGAGGAAAGGGACGGCTCCACCCCCATCTCATGAGGCTCCGCGTGTCTCATCACTGCGGGCCCAAACCTGACTGTCCAATGGCCTCTGGAAGATGGCGGCCACCAAGCCACCAAGGGGGAGCAGGTGGAGGGACAACACCCTCTCCCCGCTGGGCTGGTCTGGCGCTGGTAACCCATTGTGTGGATCAGACGCCTCTCTTTCAAAAGCCGTTGGGTTTCGAGATTTGTTTCTGAGTCTCTGGATCATGGCCATTATACAGTTTGATCAGGAACCAGAGAGGCCATGCTTCCAATTATATAGCTGAGCCAGAGGTGGTTTGTGGGTGTGTCTCCCACATACCTAACTTTTGGCCTTTTACCTTCTTGTTAAACTTGGCTCCAAGTTTTGGGGGTCTGGCCAAAGACACGGCAGCAATTTGGGGGTATCTGGAAGTCTGAAGGCACCATCAGGCTGCTGATGCTCTTGCCTCACAGGTACAGGTTGACCTGCTGGTGACACCATAACCCCAGCAAGGACAAATTCTTGATTCCTCACAATCCTTGAAGAATGTGGTGCAATTGTTACGGTTATTGTTGTTATTGAAAACAATGTCTGGGAAGCTGAAATCACAAACTGGTTCACTTTGGTGCAGGTAAATCACAGCCTGCATTTGAACTTAGGACATACCTAGCTCCAACACTAGCACTGTTAAACAAGCACCTAGTGAGTACTCTAGATCCTAAATATAAATCACTCTGAACGCAAGATCCAGCATACCTTGAACAAATTGGGAATAGACTCCCTCCACCCCATCCAGATGAAATGGTCCAGCTCTTGTTTGCTTGGTGCTCTGTTTAAGTGCTTCAAAGGGGTATCTTTGCCTTGACTGTGACCTATGGATTACATATGTCTCTGATAGGTGAAAACTAGTTTTTGGAAGAGAACACAATGGCTACTACGACAGAGTTGAGTCCCACAGGAGAAATAAGTAAATATTCCCAAGACATGCAAGTGGATAAAAAACTCACTCCCAGAAAAGGTAAACTCATCTTCAGCCATTTGGTTTTATAACTTTATGGTAAACTTTTTATTTGAAGTGTCATAATGCAAATATATAAATTTATATCTTATAAATTGCTCAATTATTTTTAAATATTAAAATACAGATGTATATTCTGCAACTATGTGAAAGGTATAAATGCCACTATTCTAGACAAGTATTTTATCTTAAGTAACAGTTATCATGCACATTTATATCCTTAAAATTACTACCAATAATCTATATTATTGTAAAGCAATATTATATTATTGTTATTGCATGTAATATAAAAATATTATATTGCTTAGTTAGGTAAAGTAAGAAAAATTTATTTTTCATACATAATTTTCTATATTGCTTTATCAAGCAATTATAGTCTTAAAGGATATGCAATATTATTTCAATTCATCTAATAAAATATTGTCAGAAAAATCAAATTAGTTAAATATTTAAGGTCTAGAATTTATTACCTATCATATATACATATAACATATTATTAAATAATGTATAATTATTGTATATTGTTTGTAATAATATTCTTTAATGAAAAACTATTTGCAGTTAGAATTATTATTTTTTGGTGTTTATTCTTAAGGAACTTAAAATTTGAAGCAAATGCTATAAATGAATCAGAAATATTGAAATCAACCCATCCTGGCAGAGATTTGATGAAAAAGGGATCTTCATATAGTTTAGTATCTATGTAAAACAATATACACATTTCTCCAAAAAGTAAGACTAGCTTTTCCATAGTATGCAGAGATTCTGCGTCTTGGCATTTATCTCGAAAACCAAAAAAAAAAAAAAAACATTACTGAAAAAAGACATATGCATGCCTACATTTATTATAGAACTTGGCACAATAGCCAGAATATAGAAACAGCCCAAATGTTCAATGACAAGTGACTTGATAAGAAATAGTGGTATATACACATAATAAACTTCCACATAATAATAAGAAGAGATGAAGTTTTGAAGTTTGTTCAAATTCTATGGAACTGGAAGATGCTATGTTAAGTGAAATAAATCAAAGGGTTGGGAAGGACAAATACCAGATGAGCTCATTCATCTTTGGAGATGAGATAGATAGAGAAACTAAGTTAAGGAATAGATAGTACTGAACAATGCCAAACCCTTGACTTTGGACTATAAAACTGAAATTTACCAAGCATTGGAATAAAAGTGATATAAGAACTGTTGTAGGGGGTCTTAGAAATTTTGATGATTTTGAGGTGCAAAAACTACATACATCAAACCATGAATGCTAGTAATATCTCAAACATATTACCCAAACTAGAATAATAATAAATAATAATATTTTTGGACATTTGCCTTGCATGCGGCCAACACGGTCGTCCCGAGTTCGATTCCTCTGGCCCTCTTGGAGAGCCCGACAAGCTACCGAGAGTATCTCGCCCACATGGCAAAGCCTGGCAAGCTACCGGTGACGTATTCAATATGCCAAACACAGTAACAAGTGTCACAATGGAAACATTACTGGGCCCGCTCAAGCAAATCAATGAACAACGGGAGGACAATGACAGTGATATATATAAATAATAATAATTTAAAATAATTTAAAAAAATAATTAATTCCAAGAGTGGAATCTTGGACCAGAGAGATAGTATAGTGGGTAAGGCACTCACATTTCACACAGCTTCCCAGGAATCAATTTCCTTGTGGCAGCCCATAAAATTCTGCCAGGAGTCATCCCTAAGCACAGAGCCAGGATTAAGCCCTGATCACAATTTGCTCTTGTTCCCAAACCAAAATCAAACCAAAAAGAGAGCCAATTCTTCTTCAGAAGACTCTAGTTTCACCCTGCTGAGATAAAGTCTTACATAATGTAGTCATGGAGGAGACATTTCATCATATTTCAAACTGAAAGTAACTCATAAGTACTGCCCTACTCCGAAATGGGTACTAATTCATGAACACTATGATGTGGAATAACTAGTGTCTGTCATATTAAGTTATAAAACAATCTCCTGAATTCTGATTGAGGCTGTATGCCTCAATATAACTTTCTAGTTTCAAAAGTCCATGATTCATGGGGTTAATGCTCTGTTCCATTGGTTAAATATTATGCCTTCAAGACAGTTATTCATTTGCACACTCTCCAACACACAAACAAACTCACACATTCTTATGTGTTTCAGGATAATCATTTAAAATATTCAACAAGTAGTGTGCCGCTTACACCAGGTTTTAGGATATATGTGATCGAAACACTTCATTACATGTAAGAGAGTGCTTAACCCCTGTTTCAGTCTAAGCCTTTTAAATATACCTTCTAGCTATCCTACAGTTTCTTTTTTATTTTTAGGGTTTTTTTGGTGACATCTTTTTATTTTATTTCTTTTTTAAATTTTTATTAGTGAGATACCATGAGGTACAGTTGTAGACTTACAAATTTTTGTGCTTGGGTTTCAGTTATACAATGACCCATCCCTCCACCAGTGCCCATTTCCCACCACCACGGAACCCAGTATCCCTCCCACCCCCCATCCCCCCCATCCCACCCTGCCTCTGTGGCAGGGCATTCCCCCTTGTTCTCTCTCTCTTCTTTTGGGTCCTGTGTTTTGCAGGAGAGGCCTTGAGTGGCAATCATGTTTGGTCAATAGTCTACTTTCAGCATGCTTCTCCCACCCTGGGAGGATCCTCCTAACACCCTTTATTTGGTGCTTCCTTCTCTATCTGAGCTCCCTTTTCCCCTAGCATGTGTGGCTGGCCTCCAAGCCATGGAGCAAAATTCCTGGTTCTAATGTAGGCCATTCTTGGGTGTTAGTCTCCTATTTTGTTACTTTTATGTTCCCCAGATGAATGCAATCTTTCTATGTCTATCTCTCTCTTTCTGACTCATTTTGCTTAACATGATACTTTCCATGTAGTACCACTTGTATGTAAATTTCATGACTTCATCTTTTCTAACCACTGTATAGTACTCCATTGTGTAAATGTACCAAAGTTTCTTTAACCAGTCATCTGTTCTCGGGCACTCAGGTTTTTTCCAGATTCTAGTTATCGTAAAGAGTGCTGCAATGAACAAACAAGTGCAGATGTCACTTCGACTATACTTTTTTGTATCCTTCAGCTTCTTAAGTTGTTCAACCTACTCTCTGTGGGACATGAGCTTCTTTGCTGATATTCTCTCTATATAGTCTTTCGTCCCTAGGATGCCAAGAAAACTTGGGGAAACCAGAAGCCACAAATTTTTTAAAAATCTTTAAATTATTAATTCATTCTATTGGCACAGAAAGTAAACAATCCACCCTGAATTCAGGAGGAAACCCTTTACAAATGGAACATTTTAAACTCCTTATAGTAACTATGGTATAGTCCATTTATTTTAAATTTTCCCTTTGCCTCCCATTCATTGTTAAGACCTGTGCTTTACTTGGAGAAATTAATCCAACTTTTCTGAGAAGACTCTTTAATTAATGTTAATCTACCACTTTCTTGGAAGTTTTTAGAACTTACAGATGCAGGATGTTTCCCTTATCTCCTATACTTTTTAGAATGACATAAACCCCATAGAAGTGCACTTGAGTTGTGAACAAGTAAATCTCATGAAACTACTTTGAACATAAGAAAAGCCACCATATACTTAAAATATAATGTGAGAAGCGTCAATCTATTAACTCACTGTGAGCTGGTTTCTCTGATGTGTGTTTCCTAATCTATAAAATGAGGATAGTATTAGTGGCTGCCATGTATTCTGGCTATGTGGAGTAAATGAATCAATTTTCAGGCATTTCCTAGGATGAGTTTCAGGAACATCTGACACCAAACTTGTAGACTGCCTCTTTCTTGAAGCCCTTTCTTTCCCTTCCTCTTGGCTTCCAGGACACTGCATTTTCTACTCAGTTTTTCTTTTTTGGTTGCTCTCATTGCTTCATCATGAACTTTGTTATTTTTTGTGAAGGAAAAATAAATTTATTTTATTCTGAAAGCTAATTTTAATAAATGCTTGTATAAGGGTTTTAGCTTTTCTACTAAGAAAATTTTTCAGGAGGTTTAATTCTAAAATATAAATGAAAGGTTGTCTCCAATGCCTGAAGACAGATGAGAAAAATCATCTATACCAACAAAGAGTAAATTTTGGATTAAATTAAATAGATATTTATTAAGTAGTAAAGATAAACTATCCAATATATGTATAAAATATATTTTTATAAATATTTACTACCTATATGTATATACTAATATCCATATGCATATATGGATATATATTTCTTTGTGAGCTATTTCACCAAATACACATTGTCCTAGGAATAAGAGAAAAATTACAGAAAGAACAGAATGTTTCACAGCAAGTCATGGTATACAGAGTGGTACAAAACAACCTTTAACTCAATTTAAGTGATTTCTTCTTTGTATCTTTTTTCTAGAAGTGCAGCTTAAATTATGATATGTGATATCTCTCTGTATTACAATGTATGTAAAGCAAATGGTATTTTAAATAATAGCAGCACTAATGTAGTGTCTTTTTCCAGTTCCAACCTTGTGCTCTATACGTTATGGAATAGCCTTTGTCGCACATCTCTGCAACTTCACAATAAGGGCACAGGCTATGATCATCAATATCACCATGGTGGTCATGGTCAACACCACAAACCATCAGCTCCAACTTAATGACTCCACCGAGGGGCTTTCTGACTCATTTGATGCCCAGACCAGTTTTCCTGCAAAGGTAAGCAATGCAAGACTTGAGTTGTGTTCTTGTTTTGTGTTGTTTGTTCATTTATATTTGTGAAATTTTTGAGTGAAAATCTTTAATCAAGAATAGTAGTTGAAAGCAAGTTGAAAGAGCTAAAGATTCTGAGGGTGGAGTGATAGTACAGCGGGTAGGGCACTTGCCTTGCATGTACCCAACCCTGGTTCGATCCTGGCATTCCATATGGTCCCCCAAGCACCACCAGAAGATTCCTGAGTGCAGAGTCGGGTGTAAACCCTGAACATATTTGTTGGGACCCAAAAACAAAAGCCAAAAAAAGAGCTAAAGATCCTTTTTAAGTGATGCAAGAAGCTTGCTATACATGGTTTACTACAACATTCTCTGTTGTTTTGTTTTCTTTTCTTTTTAAGGCACCTGTGTATAATTGGAGCCCTCAAATCCAGGGCATTATATTTGCGTCTATCAACTATGGTACCATTCTGACTCTGGCTCCCAGTGGATACCTTGCTGGAATAATAGGAACCAAAAGAGTGGTTGGGTTTGCTTTGTTGGGATCTACACTTCTCACTCTCTTTATTCCTCTGGCAGCTGATCATGGACTAATAATTCTCATTACAACTCGAGTAGTTCAGGGATTAACCCAGGTATGCATGTAATTTTTTAAATTTAAATTGTACATTCCTATAAGGAAACCACATATGTAAAGAGCTCTGTTTTTCTTTCAGGGATCAGCACTTGGGGGTCAGTTTGCACTTTGGGAAAAATGGGGTCCTCCACGTGAACGAAGCCGACTCTGTACCATTGCTTTATCGGGTAAAAACATGTAACTAAAATAAGACACTATGATTTAGTATCCATCCCTCCATCAGTGCCCATCCCTCCATCAGTCCCCACCTCCAATGCTCCCAGCATCCCTCCCACCCCTCCAACCCCATCCCACCCCACCCCTGTGGCAGGGCATTCCCTTTTGTTCTCTCTCTCTCCTTTTGGGTGCTGTGGTTTGCAAAAAAGGCATTGAGTGGCAATCATGTTCGGTCTATAGTCTACATTCAGCATGCATCTCTCATCCTGGGAGGATCCTCCCAAAATCCTTTATTTGGTGCTCCCCTCCCTATCTGAACTGCCTTCTCCCCCAGCAGGTGCAGCTGGCTTCCAAGCCATGGAGTGAACTTCCCGGTACTTATCTAGACTATTCCTGGGTGTTAGTCTCCCATTTTGTACTTTATATTCCCCAGATGAATGCAATCTTTCTATGTCTGTCCCTCTCTTTCTGACCCATTTCACTTAACATGATATTTTCCATGTAGTACCACTTTTATGTAAATTTCATGACTTCATCTTTTCTAACAGCTACATAGTATTCCATTCTGTAGATGTACCAAAGTTTCTTTAACCAGTCATCTGTTCTTGGGCACTCAGGTTTTTTCCATATTTTGGCTATTGTGAATAATGCAGCAATGAAATTGAAGTGCAGACGTCATTTCGACTGTACTTTTTTGCCTCTTTGGGATATATTCCCAGGAGTAGTATTGCTAGGTCAAATGGGAGGTCAATCTCTAATTTTTTGAGAATCGTCCATACTGTTTTCCAAAAGGGCTGAACCAGTCATCATTCCCACCAGCAGTGAAGGAGAGTCCCTTTCTCACCACATTCATGTCAACACAGGTTGCTTTTGTTCTTTTGGATGTGGGCCAGTCTCTGTGGTGTGAGATGATATCGCATTGTTGTTTTGATCTGCATCTCCCTGATAATTAGTGATGTAGAGCATTTTCTCATGTGCCTTTTAGCCATTCGGATTTCTTCTTTGGGGAAGTTTCTGTTCATTTCATCACCCCATTTTTTGATGGGGTTAGATGTTTTCTTCTTGTAGGGTTAAATTAGTGCTTTGTATATCCTTGATATCAACCCTTTATCAGATGGGCATTGGGTAAATATCCTTTCCCACTCTGTTGATAATCTTTGTATTCTGGTTACTGTATCTTTTTTTAAATTTTTCATAATTTTATTTATTGAATCACCGTGAGATCAGTTACAAAGCTTTCGGGTTTAAGTCTCGGTCATACAATGAAACACCCATACCTTCACCAGTGCCAATTCTCCACCACCAAAAACCCCAGTATGCCCAAAACCCAATCCCTCCTCCTTCCTGTGGGGCAGATGATTTCCACATTAGTCTCTCTCTACTTTGAGCACATTCAATATTTTGACACCAGACCCACCATTATTATTTGGGATTTTACCCCATCATTCAGATCTGCTGAAAAGGCAACAGTACACAATTTGTTTTTATTGCTGGTTAAAAATAACATGACAGGGGCTGGAGAGATAGCACAGCGGGTAGGGCGTTTGCCTTGCACGCGGCCAACCTGGGTTCGATTCCCAGCATTCTATTTGGTCCCCTGAGCACCGCCAGGAGTAACTCCTGAGTGCAGAGCCAGGAGTAACCCCTGTGCATTGCCAGGTGTGACCCAAAAACCAAAAAAAAAATATAATAAAATAACATGACGTTGCGTGGCTGTGGGATTTTGAAATTCTGAAATTTTAACACTTAAATCTGGAGGAATTTCTGCCAAAACCTGCTGGATTCCAAGACTTGTTCCTGAGTCTCTGGGATCATGGCCATTGAGCAGCTTGATCAGGAGCCAGAAAGGCCATTCATGGGTGGTGACTTAGAGTCTTGTTGGGACAAAGAGGAAAAGGCCAGCACCACCCCCATCCTGTGAGACCCCACGGGTCTCGTCACTGAGGGTCCAAACCTGACTGTCCAGTAGCTTCTGGAGGATGGCAGCCACCGAGCCACCTAGGGGCAGCAGGTGGAGGGACAACACCCTATCCCCCCTGGGGTCACCCGGCGACAGTAACCTACTGTGGGTTCCAGACACATTTCTGCCAAAAGCCGTTGGGTTTCAAGATTTGTTTCTGAGTCTCTGGGATCATGGCCATTAAGCAGCTTGATCAGGAGCCAGAGAGGCCATTCGTCGGCGGCAACTCAGGGTCTCGTTGGGATGGGGAGGAAAGGGCCGGCTCCACCCTCATCCTGTGAGGCCCCATGTGTCTCGTCATTGCGGACCCAAACCTGACTTTCCAGTGGCCTCTGGAGGATGGCAGCCACTGGGCCACCAGGGGGAACAGGCCAAGACACCCAACCTATTTCCACCTGTGGTGGCCCAGCACCAGTAACCCACTGCAGGGACTGGACACATTTCTGCCAAAAGCCGCTGGGTTTCGAGATTTGTTTCTGAGTCTCTGGGATCATGGCCATTAAACTGCTTGATCGGGAGCCAAAGAGGCCATTCATGGGCAGCGACTCGGGAACTCGTTGGGATGGGGAGGAAAGGGCCGGCTCCACACCAATCTGTGAGGCCCCACGTGTCTTGTCACTGCAGACCCAAACCTGACTGTCCAATGGCCTCTGGTGGATGTCAGTCACCAAGGTGGAGCAGGCGAAGGGACAGCACCCTTCCCCCCCCCCCAACCCCGGGGTGCCCCAGCCACATGGTTACTGTATCTTTTGAAGTGCAGAAGCTTCTTAATGTAAGATAGTCCCATTTGTTTATCTCTGTTTGCACTTGATTGGTCAGTGGAGTGTCATCTTTGAAAATACCGTTAGCCTCAATATTGTGGAGGGTTTTACCGACCTTGTCTTCAAAGTGTCTTATGGATTTTGGCCTGATGTTGAGATCTTTAATGCATTTTGATATGACTTTTGTGCATGGTATTTGGTCAAGGTCTAAGCCCATTTTTTTTTGCATGTGGTTGTCCAGTTATGCCAGCACCATTTGTTGGAGAGGCTTTCCTTATTCCACTTCACATTTCTTGCTCCCTTATCAAAGATTAGATATAGCTCATGGTGTTTCACTAATAATTTTTTTTTTTTTTTTTGCTTTTTGGGTCACATCCAACAATGCGCAAGGGTTACTTGGCTCTGCACTCAGGAATTACCCCTGTCGGTGCTTAAGGGACCATATGGCTTGCTGGGAATCAAACCCGGATCTGCCGCGTGCAAGGCAAAAGCCCTACCCACTGTGCTATTGCTCCAGTACACACTAATAAAAATTTTTTTAAAAATTAATCAATAATAAAATAAAATAAGACACTAAAATCCAGGTTCGGGTGGATATTTGTAGATGCCATTTTTTTTGTGGAAAGTGAAAATTTGAGGCAAATGAAAGAGACACATACCTTTGATGTAACGATGATGCAATGCCAGAAAGTAATGGAAATAAAGACACTGTCACTGCCTGTATCATTATGAATTAATTTAGAAATACAAATGTTGAAAGCTGAATCAGGTCTATCATAGGACATGTTGCCTTTCTAAACTGGTAGCCAAGACACTCTAATAGACAAACTGAAGAAAATATCATAGAACCAATAGGCTTTTGTGTTTAATTGTACAGTATGTATTAGTTTCTATGCTCCAAATATTCTCACTATGACTGATTTAAAGATAGTCATTCCAGGATGGCTGTCTTTAAAGTTAAAAGGGATGTCTGTTCTAAGATTCCTCTAGATCCAGGATTCACATGCATCATAAATGTTGAATCTCATAGTTAAATAATTGTGACTGATTAATGCTATATATCTCTTTGTCTTTCCATCTATTTCTATCTTTATTCCAAGCTACTTGTCATTCTTTGTCAATTATATCCAGTTAGCACAACTTATGAATCCATTACCTATCTCAAAGCTACTGACTAAATTTTTATCTAACATATGATATTTGCTATTAGTCTTCTATAGAATAAACAAAGATCCTCAAATAATGCCACAAGTATTCCTAAAATTTTAAAATTAAGAATTTTATCACTATATAAAGATAAAAACTAAATTTAAAAAATGTACCTGGATGTGCATATTTAGTAGACTTCTCAAACATATACAGATAGATTTGTTTGCTCATGAAGTGATTTTTCAGGGTATGAATCATGTTGAATTTGATCTCTGAAGCATCAGAATAGAGATCTGATTAGAGTCGATTTTCTCCAGCGGGCTCAGTAACGTCTCCATTGTGAGACTTTGTTGTTAACTGTGTTTGGCATATCACATACATCACGGGTAGCTTGCCAGGCTTTGCCATGCGAGTGAGATACTCTTGGTAGCTTGATGGGCTCTCTGAGAGGGATGGAGGAATCGAACTTGGGTCTGCCGGGTTGGGCATGCTCAAGGCAAACGCCCTACCTGCTGTGCTATCTCTCCAACCCAATGGAACCTACAATGACATAAAAATATTTACAAGACAATTGTTAGATGAAGAGTGAATGCCACAGAACAATAGATACTGTGATGGTGCTTATTTAAAATTAGTTATAACTTAGGTCCAAAGTTATCACACAGCAGGTAAAGAGCTTGGCTTACGTGCAGCCCATCAGGGTTCAATATTCAGCACCCTATGTGGTTCTCAAAGTCCACCAAGTGTGATCCTTGAGCACAGAGTTAGGAGTAAGCCCTGAGCTCTGCCAGGTGTGATTCCCAAACAAAAAATTAAATAAAAATAGTAATTAACATATAGACACATTTATGCAAATGTTTATAGAAAATGAAAACCAAAGTAACCTAAGTTTGAGAAATTAGTAAGGAAGATAAGTGCCCTTGTAAATATGAGAAAACTCTGCAAGTATTGTAAATTGTAAAGTGTTATTTTAGCACATTTGTTGAGAAATCAATCTAATTTTATTCTGCTTGCTATATAAATGTTTGTACAAAGAGATAAATGTATATAAAAATCAATGTTGTGTGTGTGTGCAGAGAGGAAAAATTACACATTTTATATTATATAATAAATTATTTCTGCCAGCTAATTTTTTAAGAGTAGAGATGTATTTGGGAGGCATAAGAGGGGAACATTTGCTCTTTGTGGTAATTTACTTTTATGATAAGCCCATGATGTGTATAATTTAAAAATGAGAGTAGCATAAGATATAGCAATAATTGTCATCTACAATGTTATTAGGGAATTTTCAGAAAAGACTGTATGGTCAGGAGAGCTAATCATTAGTCTGACGTTCATATATTCTAATAAATTTGTCTCCTTGGCTTAATTCTTCTGCTTATAACGTGTTAGTTATTGTTCTGAGTCCACATATTCCAGAGCCCACAGCTATCTGTCTTTTAACAGGAGTGATGCTGGGAATCTTTATTGCTATCCTCCTCGGTGGTGTCATCAGCCAAGCCCTTGGGTGGCCTTTTGTCTTTTATGTCTTTGGTAAGTTATTCCTCCTATTCCCAAATTCTCTCCCTGAAGGAGATTCTCTGAGCATCTATCTTTCTGTACTTTTCTAAAGATAAGTGAAGACAAGAAATCCAAGAAAAAGTAAATGCTTTAATATAATGTTAGGAACAATAAATCTACACCATCAGGGAATTTTGAAGCCCTTATACCCAGCATGCTATTAACCAATCATAATGTATCATGACTAATATTCTTAGTTTGGGGGCCCCGACCCAGCAGTGTTCAGTCTTATTCCTGACTCTGTGCTTAGGAGTCATGCCTAGTGGTACTCAGGAAACCATATGGGGTGCTGAGGATAGAACGGGGTGGGCCAGTACAAGGTAAGTGCCCTGCCCACCGTACTGTTTTTCCAGAAAAGAAGACAGAACTTGTAGAAAAGAAAGGATAAAAGTATACAAAAGAAAACCCTGATTATCTCACACTCTCCCTTTGAGTAAACTCAAAAAAGACAGTGCCGTCTATCTCTCCCGCCGCCCGCGTTCGGTAGTCTCATGCCAGTTCTCCCACCCTGGGGAGGTCGATGGCGATGGGCAAGCGAAGGAAGGAAACAAGGGCCAGGCTGGTTGGTGTCAGTTGCAGTTTATTCCATTCTCATTTCCATTCTCCTCTGATTCTCCTCCTGCTTCTTCCTCCCCCATGCTACTTCATTCTCCCCCTCGATCCCCCTTCATTCTCCCTCTGGCTCTGGAATCTGGATCTGGATCCCCTTTTCTCCTTCTCCTTCTGCAGTCTGGATCCGGATCCCCCAATCCACTCTTATAGTCTAGTTAAATACCAACGCATGAGGGGTTGGGGTTTACACATAGGTGTGGTCACAATCAATAGGGGTAAAGTTCTTTCCCTTAGGGAAAGCTGCTTCTAGGACAGATTCTCATTAGCAGGTCAACCCACCCAAGAGCGGAATCCCCTGGGTATGTTTCTCCTCTCCTTGTCCAACAAACACATAGGCATTCATAATATTAATCATTTTTATGGACACAGTAAGAAATACATTAAGCTTATAGAATTGCTCTCCTAGGGCCATCTCAATCTCATACTACAGTGCTCAGGCCAGATAGTCTTTCCTATCCCTAGCAGGGTCCTAGTCTCGTCATTACCTTTGGATCACGACAGCATTTGTTTATGATCAAACTCTTAACTTATAGTTAAGAATAGTGGCACTTTGGCCTGACCCATTTAGACGCCAGGGTAGCTCACCGCTTGCCCTGAGTCCATTCAGTCCCTCGTCGGGACCCTGCTTTTGGGGTGTTAGGAACAAAGGGCAACTGAGGCTTAAGTAGAGAAAGCAAATGTCCAGGAGTGAATAATACTCAAAGCCACTTAAATCCTAAATTACAAAAGCATAATATTAACTGTCTTCCTGTATCTATACAAAAAGGACATTGCTTTAAAGAAAACTATTCAAAAGACATAAGGAGAGAAGAAAGGCACTATTAGTTTATGATACAAGTTCAGTGTCCTAGAAGAATCTGACCTTACAAATAAACAGAGTCTGATTAGGGGGAAAAGCTGATTAACTGGTTGGGGAAGAGAGCAGAGAGAAGTGGTTACAGATAAACAAAGGAATGGGAGTGACTCAGGAGCACTGTGTTGGGTGTAACCCGATAAACCTAAACTCCTTGTGGCAAGGGAGAAAGGACAAATCAATTGTTATCCTATACCCTTGATACTCAGCAGAGCTCTGACCAGGATATCTATGTTTAAGACATCTGAGAAAGGGGTAAAGAAGTAATTAAGAAACATTAAATGACAGAATCCAGAACTTACGGAGAATCAGAGGCCATTGCTTGTTTCCACAAGACAGTTTGGAAAACATTTACAACTCATGGTCATTGAAGAGAGTATTTATAAAAATTTTTCCTCAGCTGTGAGCAGTGACTAGCTATAGAGGAAATACTGGTGTATATCCCTCCACCAAATGATGTTGGGGAGACCAAAATAGATCACATAGTTTCCATGTAGCATAACACTATGCTAGAATAAGTCTGAAATATGTTTATATTCATATCACTCTTTGTGTCTGGCCCAACAATAGATGACAGGTATAGAAATAAAAGCAGAAAGACAATATTCTGAAGGGGGATAATGAAGCTATTAAATCCAACCAGGAAATCTTAACTGTTAGAATTGTCACCTTAAAATAATTATAATAACTGCATTATAAAGAAAATTTATATTTACAATGACTATATTATAACATGATTCATAGTTATAATTATTGTATTATAATGTTTGAAAGTTAAATACAGACATGGAATGTTTTGAAAAGGTTCAATTTAAATTTCTGGAGATTGAAACTTTATCATACAGATGGAATTAATGGAAGATTAGAGACAACAGAAGAAAAGATTAATGAAGTTAGAAAAAATCAGAAGAAATTTTCCAGAATAAGCCAAATACCTAAAAAAAAATAATAATGATGAAATGAGGACATTATTAGGCCCTGAAATTATTATTCTCCAAGAAGAAAACAAGAGAAAAAATCTTTGTCTTATAGTTGGACTTACATTTATATGGTATAATAGCAAAATTTGGCCCCATTATATGACTAATTAATAGGGTGGATTTCATCAAGTTAAAAAAATGCCTCAAAAGACCTTATTATAAGAGATAAACTGAGACATGGAGAAAACTCTTGCAAAACATAGTATTATAAAGACTTTATGCCAAATGTGTAATGATCCGCAAAACACATTAATTAAAAAATAACAAAAATGTAAAAAATATAAAGACAATTCAAAGAGTTAATAATGAAGGAAAATAAACTCATGAGAAGATGCCCAATTCAACAATTTGGTCATCCGAGAAAGGCTAATTAAAATAGCAATGAAGGGACCAGAGAGACAGTACAGTGAGTAAAGTGTTTGTGAGTGATCTGGGCACTAGCAGGAGTGATCCCAGAGCATAGAACCAGAAGTAAGCCCCGAATACCCCAGAAGAAATTTTAAAAAAAACACCTAATTTTTAGATAAATAAAAATAAAATGACAATACCTCTCTATACCTATTAGAATGACTTCTTGAGATAAGTCTTTTTATCTTGAGATAAGTCTTTTCTTGAGATAAGTCTTTTCTTGAGATAAGTCTTTTTTTCTTGAGATAAGTTTTTTCTTTCTTTTTTCTTTCTCTATACCTATTAGAATGACTTCTTGAGATAAGTCTTTTCTTCTTGAGATAAGTCTTTTCCTTTTTCTTAGTTCCTAATTTTTTTTTACTTTTTTTTTCTTTTTTTTTTCTTTTTGGGTCACACCCAGCACCCGGTGATGCACAGGCGTTACTCCTGGCTCATGCACTCAGGAATTACTCCTGGCAGTGCTCGAGGAACCATATGGGATGGTGGGAATAGAACCCAGGTCGGCCGCGTGCAAGGCAAATGCCCTACCTGCTGTGCTATCGCTCCAGCCCCACTTAGTTTCTAATTTAAAGCTCCTAAAAGCCTTGTAATTGCCTCAGTGAAAATAGTGAAGGATGCTTCCAAGTGTTCCTAAATTATTTTTAATTTTCAAAGGTATAGGAACATCTTTCTTCTAATGAGTGACTCTTGGTGGGCTCCTGGATAACGTGGGGGATAGTGGAAGCGGGGGAGGTGGGTGGGCAGCCAAAAAGAGTTGAGCTTGAGACCAATAACCCTACCCTCCTGCCCTCCAGTAGGGATGCTGTAGATTGAGTTTGTAGATTGAGTTAATAACTAACTGTGCCTCCATAAGAATCTTAGATATGACTTTCTGAGATTGGTGAACACATCTACATACACGGATGGTGACATGCCCCAACTTCACAGGGACAGAATGTCCTCTACTCAGGACCCTTCCAAATTTAAACATATCTTCATCTGACTTGTCCTTTATGACGAGCCAGTGAACGAACATAAGCAAAGTTGCCCTTGAATTTGTGAGCCATTCTAGCAAATTATCTAAGGGTATCGTAGAACCCTAACTGCAAACTTGACTTGGTAGACAAATCACAAGTGGGGGTAACCTGTGGACACACTCATGCTAGCATCTGAGTGGGAAACAGTATTTTGGATCTACCTGTGAAGTTAGTGGACAGGACACCAGTGAGTGTCATTAATGAGTTAAATTTTAGGAAACCATATCCACAGATGTCTGGAGTCTTGCTTAGTGTGAAAATCTACAAGCTTGGTGAGCAGATCATTTTCCTTTACTAAAATCCAAAAGATTAAGACACGATTGTGCTAGTTCTAACATTTGTGATTTCCACAAATACATCTAGTTAAGAAAGGAAAATGAGGATGAAAAGCTTGAGCAAGAGCACAGTGGGTAGGGCGTTTGCTTTACACACTGCCAACCTGGGTTCGATTCCCAGCATTCCATATGGTCCCCTGAGCACTGCCAGGAGTGATTCCTGAGTACAGAGAGTCAGGAGTAATCCCTGTGCATTGCTGAGTGTGACCCAAAAAGCAAAAAAAGAAAGAAAGAAAGAAAGGAAGGAAGGAAGGAAGGAAGGAAGGAAGGAAGAAAGAAAGAAAGAAAGAAAGAAAGAAAGAAAGAAAGAAAGAAAGAAAGGGAAAATGAGTGGGTCCTAGAAAGTTGTATATTCACACAGACTTTTTGAGAGATGTAGTATTATGAACAAAGACATATACCAAAAGACCTTCGACTGTAAAGGAAATTTATACAAAAGCAGAAATCAGTTCAGTTAACCAGTTTTACCTTCTGTTTGCAGGAGGTATTGGCTGTATCTGCTGTCTTCTATGGTTTACTCTAGTTTATGATGATCCCAGGTCTCACCCATGGATAAACATCACAGAAAAAGAATATATCCTATCTTCCTTGGAACAACAGGTACATGTCTCCACTTCTCTCCATTGAGCTCGGGTCAGGATTTGAATTTCTAGGGGTACTCAAGAACGTTTGTGATGTTGGGGAAACTAGAGCAATAGTACATTTGGCAGGCAGCCAACCCTGGTCGGATCCTCCGCATCCCAAATTAACCCACTTCCCCACCACCACCACCACCACCACCCAGGAGTAGGCCCTGAGCTCTCTGCTGGCTGTGACCCCAAAGCAAACAAAAAAAATGCTTGAGATTCTTCTGTCCTTATTTTTGTGACCAGCAAATTTATTTTCAGGTTATCTCTTCTTCTAAGCCATCTCTCCCCATCAGAGCCATGGTCAAATCTCTTCCACTTTGGTCCATGTGTCTTTGCTGTTTTGCGCATCAAGGGTTAACTCACACAGTGGTTACATACATACCAACTTACATCAGCTCTGTGTTTAATGTTAACATCAGAGACGTGAGTATCTTTTCCCCTCCTCTTCCCCTATTTGCATAACTCACTATTTATACAGCCTTTGTAAATCACCCACCTAGAAAAATTGATCCTTTATTACCCAGAAAAAAAATCAAATTTTTGACATTCATACCAGTAGGTTTTCTGATAGTGTGATGGAAAAGACAACTGTTTATCTTAATAATGTGTGATTTCATGTTCCAGTAAGATGATGTTTAGTGCCTTTGAAAAATAAAAAATGTTATTTCACTGCATTTATTATGTTGATGTATTCATTTTTCTCCCTCCACCTTCAGAATGGACTCTTGTCTGCCCTTCCTTTTATTGTGTCCTGGTTCAGTGGAATACTGGGAGGTCAACTGGCAGATTTTCTACTTTCAAAGAATTTTAGGCTTATTACAGTGAGAAAACTTGCTACATTTGTAGGTAAGAACAGGGCCTGAGGGTTAGCTCTGTCTGTCATTAAGCATGCTTACAATGGAAAGATGCATCTCATTGTTGAAATGCTCTGTTCCTCATTCCCTAGGGAGCCTCCCTCCTTCAGTACTGCTTGTGGTCCTGCCATACCTCAGCTCCAGCTATATCACAACAATGACCCTCCTGATTGTCTCCTGTGGGTTACTCCCATTCTGTCAATCTGGGATCTATATCAATGCCTTAGATATCGCTCCAAGGTAAGACCGGAAGATCCACTCTGATTTTCACATTTTCTGAAAAAATTTTTCCTGTGGCTTTTTGGGAATCCCCAAATTGTTTTCCGAAGTTATTTGTAAATCATTTCAAACACTAATAAATCACGACCTAGAATCCTAGGCAAAACTGCCTCCATTTTTCATTCAGGATTGTGGAGGTACCCTCTGTCTTGGTCTCTCTGGTTGAAGATACACAAATATTTTTTAAAATAATGATGTGTTGGATCCATATATGAGGGTTAAGGCTAAGGGGGGCACTGTGAAGAATTTCTGGCTTTAGCCTGGAATATTTATGTCACCCACAGACACTCCAGTTTTCTCATGGGAGTCTCGAGGGGATTTTCTCAAGCAGCAGCTATCTTGTCACCAACAGTTTGTGGATTTCTTCTCGATCAGGTAATCAGGTAATGTTTTCTTGTTGTGAGGGACTCTTAAAATTCTCTTTCAAGTCCATGCATAAAAAGCAATAGAATAGGGGCTAGAGTGATAGCATAGCAGGTAGGGCATTTGCCTTTCATGCAGCCGACCCAGGTTCAAATCCCAGCATCCCATATGCCCCCTAACCACTGCTAGGAGTAATCACTGAGTGCAGAGCCAGGAATAACCCCTGAACATCGCCAGGTGTGACCCAAAAAGCAAAAACAAAAAAAAACTAGAATAAAGAAGTTACCTGTGTTTTGGAAAATCAAATGAAACTGTGGCGTTTGTCAGGAGATCAACCTGACAAGGGAAAATATAGAGCAGCTTCTTTCTTGACTTCAGACTTGATTCTTTTTGAGACTAAAGAACTAATTGGTAATATTTGATCTTTGAAACAAATCATAACACCATATTGGTATTATGAGTTGTTGGGTCTATGCGTAGATACGACTTGTCATGTCTTTTGCATCATTTTAAAATTTGTATTTGCAATAACCTTATAAAAAGTAGGGATCCTGAAAGCCAACATCTACATGTCTGAAACATCATGTATTATTTTAGGTATTTCATGTAGAGTAATGTCTTTCAATCAGTTATACTTGTGAAATATTATTACTCTAACTTCCTGATAATCAAATAAAATTTTGATAGAATAAATCTTCCCCATTACTGGGGACTACAGCTGAATCTTACGAAGACAATGTTTATGAGAAACAGCCTTGTTCCTGACGCTCCATTCGCTCTCAACGGAACCACCATCTCCGAATGCAACAGTTATATATACTTAGGTCGAGAAATCAACATGATGAATGACCTGGCACCTGAGTTACGCAGGAGGAAGAGAGCGGCTTGGAATGCCTTCAAGAGCATTGAAGAAATAACTAAAAGGACAAAGAACCTCCAACTACGAGCACATCTCTTTGATTCCACTATTCTTCCTGCATTAACATATGCCTCAGAGACCTGGACCCTACGAAAACAGGATGAGAACACTATTCGGGTCTCTCAAAGAGGAATCGAAAGAATTATGCTTGGAATATCACGATTCACTCAAATGAGAGATAGAATCCGGAGTTCTGATCTTCGTCAACGCTCAAGAATCAGGGACGCTGTCTCATTTGCCAAGACATCAAAAATCAGATGGGCTGGACATGTAATGAGGTTTACAGACAACCGCTGGACTAGAGCCATTACTGATTGGATTCCACGAGACATCAAAAGATCACGTGGACGCCCACCTATAAGATGGTCAGACTTCTTCGTCAAGACCCTAAATGATCGGTTTGAGGCTCTACATGTTCCTAAAACGAACAGATACCATTGGGCTACGCTAGCACGCAACCGGGATGAATGGAGACGTTACTGGCACCCGCTCGAATAAATCGATGAATAACGGGGATTAAGTGATTAAGTGATTAAGTGATTAAATCTTCCCCATAATATAATTTGGAGACACAACTTTTGACTTTTTACCTGTCTACTTCCAAGGTTCTCAATCTTTTTTACTCTTTATCATACCCATCTAAGAATAATCTTGAAGGCATTCTTGGCATATTTTATAAAGTCAAGATTCATGCCAAAGAAAAAATAGTTGCCACCTTGTAAACAGTACTAAGTGCAATTCTGTAGGATAATTACAAAAGTCTCTAAATCTCTTATATTAAGAACATTTTAAATAATTCTTCTTTCCACCCAAATATCAAGCTACCTGATACTTCCACCCAAATATCAATAGCAAGCAGGAAATAAATTTCTATATGGAAGCCCAGTGGCAAACACTCTCTTCCTAGCTATGAATATGAGTTTTATAAAAAAGAAATTTAAAAAAGTCAAATTTATTTGAGGTTTTATGCCCCTAGGACCCTGAATTTGGATGGAGGAATATCTTCTTCATGTTGTTTGCCATTGACCTAGCAGGATTGATCTTCTTCCTCATATTTGGAGAAACAGATGTCCAAGAATGGGCTAAAGAGAATAAACTCACTCGTTTATGAAAAGAAGGTAAAACATAATGATTTCATCTATGGTTATAACTCTAGAAACACTTTACTTTTAACTTAATGTCATTTTTCTTTCTTAATTATTTCCCCTGAGATGGAAAAGTCACTAGGCACCTTATTTCATAAACAAAGTTTTCAGCGGTGAAAACACCAACAAAAAAAAATTTTGTTTGCTGCAGCTCATTTTAAATATAAGACACTTTAATTTCACTCATTTCCTTTTTGAGGAAAATATGAAAAGTTAAAATTCAAATAAAACAGCGCTCAATAAGTGGTCGCTTTTATTGAATTAGCGTCGATTCAGAAGAGATTGCCAAATTCTAGATAGACAATTTCTTGTTCTCAAAACAGAAAACAATGTTTTTAAGCTTCAAATGCAGGAGCATAGGGCATGATTTGAGTTTGAGTGAAAATTTATGAAAAAAACATTTTTTTTCCTATTTGTGAACATGCATGTCAGTCTATTTATTGGTCTGGGTACTGTTCTCTTGCTCTTGCCTCTGTTGGCTCCACCCTTTTTTCACCCTCTCAGGCCCCAAGAAGCTACCCAAATGAGCTGTGTCTGATACTGTCTTAACCCTAGTGTCTGCTGAATTTTTCAGAGAAAACAGGAAAGTATTTTTCTCCAAGATCTTCTCCATAGTCTCTGCTGGTAGTGGATCCTCTACAAGTCCCTGGCAAGCAAGAACTCTGGATACCATCTGGGAAATTTATCATCCCCTGGCCTCTCAGGCCATTTTGATCTTAAACTTTGATAGTTCTGGAATCCCGTAAGCTACCTTTGGTTTCCTACAACTTGTCCAATACTGTGTAAACTGAATTTTTTAACAATGTTTTCAAATTGCCCAGCATGAGTCTATCATATTTCTTTTCCTGGGTTTCAAGTATTAGTATAGCTAAATCATATATAAAACTCAAAGCATTTAGTGTACCAGTATTAGAATAAAAGTTTACTTTGTGGGAGCAGGGAGGTTAGGGTCAGAGAATGTTCACGACCTGTAACAAATCACCATGAACAACTTTGTAAACCGCAGTGAGTGTTTATACAAAGTGTAAGGGTAAAATACAAATTTTTTTTAAAAAAAGAGAATGTTCACAGGACAAGGTTCATATTCTAGATTGCTCTTGTGGTGATCTCTACTTTTAAGACCGATTTTTATAGTCACCAGTATTTGTTAAAGAGTTTGACAAGATGGTTACTAGGTCTGAATTAAAAATAAGTCACGTAATATAGAAAGTTAAATTTGAATAGACTCAATGGTACTTGAGATAAGGATTCAGGTGCAAGAACTTATTTTGAGAATAAAGAAAACATACATAAAATAACAAATGCTAAATTTATAAATAAGAAAAAATATGTAGAAATCAGTCAACATAGTGAAAAGGTAATTTATAGGATGGGTAACAATATTTGTAAATCACATATATGATAAAGGGTTAATATTCAAAATATATGAAGAACTCATGCAAGTCCACTGCAAAAATAAAAGTCCAGATCTAATTGAAAATAGAAGAACTAAATAGACATTTTCCCACAGAAAACATACAAGTCTTGACATATGGAAAATAAACAAGTTGAAAAGATGCCAAACATCACCTCACCATCAGAAAATACAAATCAAAACTTCAATGAGACATGATTGAATCCTGTTGGAATAGTTATTATCAAAAAAGACAACCAATAACAAGTTGGTGAGAATGTTAAGAAAAGGGAATCTTCATGTACTGTTTATAGAATGGTAAGCCATTGTAGCTACTGTGAAAAGCAGTATGGAGGTAACTCAAAAAATTAAAATATAGAATTATCTTGTGACACAGCATATTCTACCTATATATATAAAAGATATAAAAACAAAATTTCAAAGAAGTATCTGCAGTTCTTTGTTTACAACAGCATTATCTACAAAGCAAAAATATGGTAATAACCTAAGTGTTTATTAATGATGAGTGGAGAAAGGAGATTTATATATTATGAACACTGTTTTTCATTTATATATTATAAAATACTGTTCAGGTATGAGAAAGAGGAACATCTTGTTATTTGTACATTATGGGTAGATCTTGAAGGAATTATGCCAAATGAAGTAAGTCAAACAGAAAAAGCAAGTACCACTTACAAGTGGAATCTATGAAAAGCCAAATTCACAGAAGCAGAGATTAGATTGGAAGTTATCAAAGTCTGGTGACATGAAAAAATGGAAGTGTTAGTTAAGAGATACAAGCTTCTGGTTATAAGATGACTGAGTTCTTGGATCTAATGCACTTCAGAGAGATTAGTTAATAACAGTATTCTTTGAATGTTACTGAGAATTAGTTCTTAAATATTCTTACCGCAGAAAAAAAGAAATGACAGTTGCATGATATGATGGAGGTTGTAGCTAAGACAATGGTAGCAAGCATTTTGTTATTTATATGTGTGTATCAATTAAACTGGTTCTGCACTTTAAATTTACATAATATCATGTTTTCAATTGTATCTCAATAAAGATTACTTCTTGGTACACTGGAATTTATCCTTTATCCTGGCTTTCTGATAATGGGCCTTATGTTGAAATAATGTATGCATGAAAAGCATGATTAATTGTAATTGTATTGTAAATCCTGGTACCTCAATTAAAAAATGTCTTTTTTTGTAAAAGAGAGAGGGGGTCCATTTTCCCTCAGGATAATGCCTTGCACCAGATGGTACAGAGTGGTTCTGGGAAATTAACTTTCAGTCCCATGCGTGAAATACAGGTGCTATACCACTAAGATATATTCCTATATCTATAGTCTATAACTGTCAATAGCATCTAAAGTGGAATCAAACTTGTAGGAATCCATAAGCTATGGGATATGACAATATCTCCAAGTAGATAGTGTCAGAACTGCACTAAGTTAGTTGTAAGATATTGATTCTAAAGACTTGTGTCTGAACAGAATTGGAGAATTGCTTTGTGGTATGTGGAGAAAAAAATACGTGTATTTTATGCTTACTCTAGTACACTTGGGAATAAGCACATGGGGAATATATTGTATATGGATTAATTTATTTGTGAGCACAGTAGGAATTAATTGCACAAGACAGCAAATTGAGGACATTTCTGCTAGCTACCAGAAAATTTATCATTTTTTAGAATACTTGTCCATCCTCTTACTTGAATTTAGGTAAACTGGAAACTTAACAGTACAAAGATATGTGCATGTGTGGGCAGACTTCTAGAGTGAGACAACATTGGCAGTAGTCCCTGTGGGATTCTTGCAAGAGGAGAGAATAACTACATGGTTATTTTTGTTATTTTTTAAATTTTTTAATGCTGTTTATTCAGCCATTGATTGAGCTGATTGAATTGAACATGAACCCCGCATTATTTTTTTGTTGAATCACCAAGAGATACAGATACAAAGCTTTCATGTTTGATATTCAGCCATACAATGTACAATGATCAAACACCCATCCCTCCACCAGTACACACTTTCCACCACCAGTGCCCCCAGTATATCCACTCCCCTCCCATCCCAGTCCTCATTCTGCCTCCATGGCAGGCAATTTCCCCAATACTCTCTCTATGCTTTTGGGTATTATGTTTTGCTTGAATTTTCCCGCCACTATGCAAGCCTGCCTGCCAGGGACATATGCTAGATCATTTATTGTCCATTGCTCATTTTGAATATCTTGAGTGCCTCAGCTGCATGCTTCTGGAATCCTAGATTGTAAATGGTTGGGATCCAGAGACATTTCTGTAGGGCACTAATCAATTTTGGGATTCAATTGGGAATCTCTGGACCAGGCCTGTTGGTACCCTAAGATGGTGCCTGAAGGCACATTGTAGGTGTGACGACCAGGCTGATGAGCGGGCAGGGAGCCGAGGAGGGACAGCCTGGTACCTCTGCCACCATGCAGCATGAAGATTTAATCCTGGAACCCACATACCTGGTCTTGCTTGTGCAAGGTCTTGGTCACCACAATTCTATCTGGAGGAAGCGAGGAGACTGCACCTGCTCCATATGGGGTGCTATAGTGAAATTGGCTCGGTATGGGGCCCGGAGAGATCTCCAGTTCTATGGTGTCTTTTGGGACTCACTGCTGTGTCTCTGACTTTTGATCTCTTTTGAGATTTATTTATGGGTCTCTCAAGCAAGGCCAGTAATATTAGAGTTTACAGGGTGGCACTGAAGTTGGTTCATGGGGGTGACTGCTAGTGATTCCATGTTTATTGGGAATTTGGGGGAGGTAACCCACCCCAACTTCTTGAAAGCCTGGAGATTTCAGTCACAAAACCGGAATACCTGAATTTTGAGCAGATTCTATCTTGGTGAGATCCATCCTGAGAAGGTGGAGTCAGGCCAGGGCTATGGCGGCAATTTTGGACTGTGGAAGCAAGCGGATGCTGGGGGTTCTGCTTGGGCAGGCACAGGCCAACCTGCCCCCCTCCAATTTACCCCAGTCTATTCAGCCATGCGCAATTCTGAGATTAACTCTGGCTTTGGGTTTCTTTTGAGATTTATCAATGGGTCTCTGAAATAAGACCAATAGATGAGCTTCTATAGCTGAGCCGAATGTGGCTTGTGGGGGTAGCTCCCACATATCTAACTTTTGGCCGTTAATTTTCTTAGTAAACTTGGTCCCAAGTTATTGGGGTCTGGAGAAAGGCACAGTGGCAATGTGGAGGTATCAGGAAGTCTGAAGGCACCATCAGACTGCTGATGCACTCACCCCACAGATAGAGGTTGAACTGTTGGCAGCATCATACCCCCGTAGCATATGTTTACTGTGAGTTACTGACCAGTTAAGAGGCCCACACTGTCAGCAGAGGTGGTATTTTGTTCTGAATAATCTGAATCCAAATATCAGATATTAAATTTTATGCTTCTCCTAAATAATGTTTTACCTGCATCAGGAATCTGTTATTAAAATGTATGTCTATACTTTTTATTAATCTTCATGACAACCTTATAGAATTAAGAATATTGTTTCCATTTCCTTGGGAGAAAGAAGTTGAGATGTCATGTAGTTAAATGACCTTTTCTTTTAAAAAAAAATTGTTAGTGAAACACCATGAGGTACAGTTGTAGACTTACAATTTTTTGTGCTTGGGTTTCAGTTATACAATTATCGAGTACCCATCCCTCCACCAGTTCCTGTTCTCCACCACCAATGATCCCTCCTGCACCTTCTCAGCTCTTCTCTCAAACTTCTATGTGGTTTCTGGGGAATCCACCTTCTCCCTCTGAGGCCTTGTCCACCATACTAAGTGGAAGTCTGGGACCCTTGAAATTCCTCTCATTGTGGTACTCCTTGCAGCTGTAGACACGGCCCTACGATTAACTAGTATTGGACTATCACAGAAACTACTCTGTGAAAAAGACTTTCATTATAGCACAGCGGGTAGGGCGTTCGCCTTACACGTGGCCAACATGGCCGACCCGAGTTCGATTCCTCCGCCCCTCTCGGAGAGCCCGGCAAGCTACCGAGAGTATTCGATATGCCAGACACAGTAACAACAAAGTCTCCAATGGAGACGTTACTGGGCCCGCTCGAGCAAATCGACGATCAACGGGAGGGCCTTTACCTTTACATTATAAAATAGAACAAATTATTATTTGTTCCTATTTATTGATTTTTCTTAAAGTGACTTATAAAGCAGAGAATATAGGGTGGAAGTGGAAAGCTTTCCTTAGAATCCAGACATGTTATGTGTTGCATGGTGTGGGAGGTACAAACTGAATATGAGAGGGGAAACTAGCTTACAGAATTCTCAGACCATCTTTTGCCCTGAACTGGTGACTGCCCCTAAGTCCAGATGCTGACTCACAAATGTCTTTTGTGAGCAACTATATTCAGAAAACTTAAGAAGGCTTTAAGACACTGGGTTGGAATTGTCAGGCTTAATATATTTTCCTCAAGCTGTCTTTCTTGTCCCCATGATACTTTGTATGAGAAATTTGTTACACACCAAAAATAAGATTAATAATAGTAATAAAGTCATCCAAACCAAGTTACTGAACTCCTAGATGCTATGCATATTTGACTTTAATCTCTGTCGTGTCCCTATGTGATATGCTTATCAATATTCAATTAGTGATTAATGTCTGTTGCTTTCATATTATCCACCTAAGGGCTTACTGAAAGCAAGCACACCATAAACATCCTCCAGATATTTATCACAGATAAACTGTAGGTAATACGTATACTTTTAGAAGACATAAATGAAGTTAATGAGGTAAATGCTGAAGAAGATCCACTAAAGTATGTAGGACTCTGCCAGTTGCCCAGGGCAGAAGAAAGGTACCCTTGTCTGAAAAAGATGAAGTCTATTAGTGTAGAAAAATTCATTCTTGGTACAATGTATTCAATCTCTAATGTCATTTCTTTCTTGTTATTTTATACCCCCAACATCTTGCCCACCCAAGTCTCATAATGACCCTTTACCTTTATTCACTGACATAACGGTGAATTCACTTGCTCTGGTCTTGGAATTGCATGCCCTATGATTTGCGTTATTTCAGGCTTTCTTTATATGACAGGTCTTAAGGTTCATCTTTCTGGATGTTTGATCAGAATCCTTCTTGTCACAGTCAGTTCCCATTCCATTGTTTCTGGCTTCCTATTTGATTTTGGTGAGAAATTGTTCTCCAGCCCTCTCCCCCCTTTCTAAATTCTTTTCTTTTCTCACCTAATGAAAATGTCTTTTTTTATGCTAAATAGATTATTGGTAATGGGGGCCCTTAATTGCATCATGACGTAGATCTTCAGAGAGACTATAATAGGATTAGAAAATTTTAACATTTGACTCCATCATTCAATCACTGTGGAGAGAAGTTTTGGGGATTGAATGACTTGGAGACTGAGTTCATAAAAATGTTGTGATTACAGCACCCAAAAGGAGAGGTAGAACAAAAGGGAGTTCCCTGCCACAGAGGCAGGGTGGGATGGGGGATGGGAGGGGTGGGAGGGATACTGGGATTGGTGGGGGTGGAGAATGGGCACTGGTGGTGGGATGGGTACTCGATCATTGTATAACTGAAACCCAAGCACAACAACTTGTAAGTCTACAACTGTACCTCATGGTGTTTCACTAATAAAAATTTTTTAAAAATGTTGTGATCAATTATAAAAATCTTCAATTAAAATCCTGATAGTGTTCCAAGAGTTTTTGATAAACATAAGGAAGTGCTTGGACAATGGGGAACTGTCCAAGTTAGGACCTTTCCATGCATGGAGACAGGATGAACTCTGCTTTACATTCCTTCTCATTACCACCACCACCATCTCTTGGGTCTTTTCTGTTTAGTTGTTCCTGAGATCCCTTTATCCTGTATCCTGTATCCCTTTATAATAAACCAGTAAGAGTAAACTGTTTTACTGAACTCTTTGAGTCATTCTACCGCATTATCAAGCCTAAACAGGGAATTGTTTGATCAATGGGCTGGAGCAGAGTGGATAGGGCATTTGCCTTGCATGAGGCCGACCGGGTTCGATTCCTCCATCCCTCTTGGAGAGCCCACCAAGCTACCGAGAGTACCCCACCTGCAAGGCAGAGCCTGGCAAGCTCCCCATGGTGTATTCGATATGCCAAAAACAGTAACAACAAATCTCACAATAGAGACGTTACTGGTGTCCGCTCAAGTAAATCGATGAACAGCAGGATAACAGTGCTACAGTGCTACTATGATTAATGTCTGGAATGAAGGCAGTCTTATGGAATGCAGCCTTTAACCTGTGGGTTTTGTACCAGTGTCAGATTTTAATTAAATGGCAGGACACTCTGTTGGTGTCTACAGAGAAAGAGGGAATTGTATTGTGTGGAAAAGCATACATTTGGGGTGAGAAATGCTGTGAACACAGATACAACTTTCTTTAGTTATTCAAGCAAAAGCATTGGGGGGGAAGACACAGGCTAAGAAGAAATATTAAAATTAAAATTAAAATGTCTTTATAAGGCATTTTCCTCAGGAAATTGTATCTTTTGTTTTGTTTGTTTGTTTATGTTAGGAGTACTGATATTTATTCAGCCATTGATTAGGCTGATTGAATTGGGCATGAACTCCATCTTACTTTTTTTTTTTCACTTTTTAACATTTTATTTATTGAATCACTGTGAGAGCAGTTACAAAGCTTTCGGGTTTAAGTCTCAGTCATACAATGAAACAGGCATACCTTCAGCAGTGCCCATTCTCCACCACCAAAATCCCCAGTATACCCCCATTTCAATCCCTCTCCCTACCTGTGGAGCAGATGATTTCCACATTACTCTCTCTCTCTCTACTTTGATTACATTCAATATTTTGACACCAGACCCACAATTATTATTTGGGATTTTTACCCAAACACTCAGATCTGCGAAAAGGCAACAGTAGACAATTTGTTTTCTATTGCTGGTTATGAGTAACATATGATGTCGCACGACTGCAGTAGTGGCTGCACAATTTTGAAATTCCGAAATTTTAACAATTAAATCTGGAGGGATTTCTGCCAAAACCTTCTGGGTTCTGAGATTTGTTCCTGAGTCTCTGGGATCATGGCCATTAAGCAGCTTGATCAGGAGCCAGAGAGGCTGGTCATGGGCAGCAACTCGGGATCTTTTTGGGGTGCAGAGGAGAGGGCCGACTCCACCCCCATCCCATGAGACCCTATGTGTCTTGTCACAGAGGGCCCAAACCCAACTTCCAATGGCCTCTGGAGGATGGCAGCTACCAAACCGCCAACGAGAAGCAGGTGGAGGGACAGTACACTTTCCTCCCCAGGGTGACACAGCAACAGTAACCTACTGCGGGGTCCGGACGCATTTCTGCCAAAAGCCGCTGGGTTTCAAGACTTGTTTCTGAGTCTCTGTGATCATGACCATTAAGTAGCTTGATCAGGAGCCAGAGAGACCATTTGTGGGCAGTGACTCCGGGTCTCATTGGGACGGGGAGGAAAAGGCCACCTCCACTCCCATTCTGTGAGGCCCCTAGTGTCTTGTCACTGCTGGCCCAAACCTGACTGCCCAGTGGCCTCTGGAGGATGACGGCCACCAGGCCACCAGGGAGAACTGGCCAAGGCACGAAACCTATTCCCACCTGGAGTGGCCTGGTGCCAGTAACCTACTGCAAGGACCGGACACATTTCTGCCAAAAGCCATTGGGTTTCAAGATTTGTTTCTGAGTCTCTGGGATCATGGCCGTTAAGCAGTCCTATCAGGAACCAGAGAGGCCATACCTCCAATTACATAGCTGAGCCGGAGGTGGTTTGTGGGTGTGTTTCCCACATATCTAACTTTTGGCCATTTACTTTCTTGGTAAACTTTGCCCCAAGTTTTTGGGGTCTGGCCAAAGTCACAGCAGCAATTTTGGGGTATCTGGAATTCTGAAGGTGCCATCAGGCTGCTGATGCACTCGCCGCACAGGTACAGATTGACCTGCTGGTGGCAGCATACTCCCTAGGAAATTGCATCTTTCAAGAGCTCTACATAAGAAACTGGATGGAGAAACCAATTACATAGTTCTTAGTATCTTACAGTAACTGAAAAGAATGGCAAGCACATGGAAGAACATGCGAGTCTATGTCTTCAGGAATTCACAGTTAAGTAAGTAGTCTTTTTTCTCCCCATCCCCTATAAAATTTTCAGGCAGAACCTTTAGTATTAGAAGGCCAAGATCTCTAAGAAGATGTTGGATAGTCAATTCAAATAAAATGGCTAACCAGTCACACAGGAACTAAAGTAGAATTTCCATGAAGCTAAACAATGGACAAATAAACATCAGGATCTAAGGTGTCTCTCATTTTTCTCAGAAGCGGGTGAATGTGTCCTCTCTAGCCCAGTCCTGGATCTCTGCTTGGCCAAAGATGACGTAGAAGATCAAGCCCACTATGTTAATAGCAGTTGAGAGGAAGAAGACATTTCTCCAACCAAACTCCGAGTCCTGGAAGCAGGAAATTACATGTCATTAATAGTCTCCTAATTCTTGTCCTGGCTGTGCCTGTCTTATAGTCCCTACTCTCAACGCTGCTCCAGCGGCCCTGGGTCGCTGCCTATCTGTGTCTGAAATAAAAAGGTCTGCTGCCAATGGACTAGCCTTCCATTTTACTGGGATATTTACCCACATGTAGCCCTTTGTCTGGCTTTTTTACTGATTCCAATTTAAGGTTACTTTTTCATTCATTGACCATCAGATTTAAAATTAAAAGTGTTCTGCTTTGTCCTCTTCTCTCCACTTTATTTCATTCTTCATCACACATCACCATTACCTAGGTCATATATTTAACTTATTTTATAAATGTTTGATTATTTACTTTTATATAATATGGGATTCTGCACCAGGCTGTTTCCAATCGGGGTACCCCAGAAAGGGGCAGGTGAGAGCCCTCCCCATCCCAACGGATCCAACCCAGGCAGCCGACCTCCACTGTCCAACCGCCACCACTTTCCAGGCCGCTTTAATGGATCATAGGACATTTCCTACCCATTTTTCACAATTACCACACTGTGTTTAATGGAGTTCAGTAGGCAACTATATATATATATCCTGGCAAGCTACCAAGAGTATCCACCTGCACGGGCAGAGCCTGGAAAGCTCCCCATGGCATATTTGATATGCCAAAACCAGTAACTATAACAGGTCTCATTCCCCTGACCCTGAACATTGAGAAAAACGAGTAATGAGAGGCTGCTAAAACTCAGGGCTGGGACAAATAGAGACGTTACTGAAGCCCACTCGAGTAAATCGATGAACAATGGGATGACAGTGATACAGTGATAGAATGTGTCACAAGGGCAGGGATATTGTCTACTAAAATAATGCATGAATTATGCTCATATCCAATATATTTGTTGAATGAGTGGATACGGAATGATGAATGAATCAAAGGGAAAACAAGGTAAGGATAACATTTTTTTTCATTTTAAATCACTATTTCCTTGACAGTTATCAATGGTTAGAAGGAAATTTAAAGATTCAAAAAATAAAAAAGAAAGAAAGAAAGAAAGAAAGAAAGAAAGAAAGAAAGAGAACTCAATACATTTTATGAGTGTTTTATTTTGTTTTGTTTGGGGGCTACACCTGGTGATGCTCAGGGGTCACTCCTAGCTTTTGAACTCAGGAATTAGTCCTGGTGGTGCTCAGTGGACAAAATGGGATGCAGGAGATCAAACCTGGCTCAGCCACATGCAAGACAAACGGCCCAGCTGCTGTCCTATTCCTCCAGTCCCACTCCTAGGAATGTTCTCATCAGAACATTTGAACTCACCTGACTGATTAAATATCCAGAAACAGCAGGAGAAATGGCTCCAACCATGTTACTAAAGACTTCTGATACTCCCTTGAGAAAGGAAACATACCTAGAAAGAGAGTAGAGAAACATGGGGTGAGGACATTCCAGTACAAAAGGTTAATCCCAGCTAATCTGTTGTATTCTGCAGTTATCTCTGGAGACATCTGAACCTATGCTCACCCTTGGTCAAGCTTGAATGAAAAGTTAACTAGTGGTTTTTAGTAAGATCCTGTTCTAAAGTCTAAGACTTCTAAGGATTGATCTACACTTATTTGTGAACACTGCTAAACAAAATGTACAGATTGATGGTTTGCACTTATGCACTCTTAATTTCTATACCAGTTCCTATTCGTAATGTTTTGTTGGGGAAGGGAATCACTAAAACATCCTTCTTCACGTGCAAAAGACATTTCAATGGATGAGTCATTGGTCCTTCTTAGACAATGGCATCTTCCACATATCTTGGTGGTTTATCATCTGAAGACAAAGCAAGCCCAACAGGAATTGGCTATGAAAAAAAACCTGGGAGCTATAATTGGAAGTTGCAGTCATATCTCATATTTACTTCTCTCTATCCTTTATTATATACCGTATTAAATCCTTTCAAGAGCACGCAGTGTAGACTTTGCAGGGTCTTTCAGTATTTTGACACTGCTGCATCCTCCAACACAGCTTGTTGGAACACCTCTAATGTTTTGTTAGTGTGGTCACTGACTCCTGTTATCACCTGGGAGAAATTCAATTCTCAGTGGTTAACTAGCTTTGGGATGCTGCCAGGAAATGCCTTGGGTGGAGATTTGTTTTCACATTCCCTGTAACCTAGTGAGCATGTCATTCCCATTTTACTCAATGACAGAACAGGTTTAAGGCCCCCGGACCTGTGCTGAGTTTATATGAGGATAAAGCAAAGGGATGCCTACCGTGGAGCAATATCGATGACATTAATTAACACTCCTAGTTCATTGAAGCTGCTGAAGATAGCGGACAGTACAAAGAAGGCCATCGTGGTGCTGTGGCTGGATCTCACCCAATAAAGAGACAAGAGGAAAGGACTTGAAAAGAGAACTCCTAAAGCAAAAGAATACACACAGAGTGATCAGGAGGCTACCCTGAGATTGCCATAGCCAATCTGGTAACAGCATGGTTCCTTACCTATAGCTGTGAAGAGTTTCCTGATTGTGTTAAGTTTAAGAAGCTTTCTGGAAAGCAGGAAATCTGCCAACTGACCTTCAAGTATAATGAAGACAAGTCCAAAAACAAATGGCAGGGCTGACAGGAATCCACTCTGAAGATGAAGTAAGGGACAATGTCTCACTACCACATGATAGCATAGATTCATCTCTGTGCCAATTATATGCATACAAGGTTTTTCTTTATATACACTTAACTCCACATAAATTCCAATATATTTCAAGGACTCAATACAATTTTAGGGCCTGGGGGAAAGATGGATATAATTTGGGGAAATTTTTTAGTTTACATCATGTATATCCATTTTACATGATCTTCACATATAAATACTATCTGGAAATACATCAATTTGCTTGAGCGGGCCCAGTAACGTTTCCATTTTGAGACTTGTTGTTACTGTGTTTGGCATATTGAGTACAAGGAATAGAAAATATTACTCAGTCTCATTTAAAAAGTGACTGTAAAGTACCACTTTTCCTACATCAAATTGTCAAAAATCCTAAAATGTGAGAAATCACTATCATTAGTAGCCAATGGAGGAAAATTTAACAACAAATATAAAAATTTAATGCTGGGATGCGACTTTTCTATAAAATAAATAAATACCTTGCACATGTAGGACTTGGATTCAATCCTTGTTATGACAAATATATATGTTTGTATATGTATATGCAAGAACATTTATACAGCATTTACTTTTGAATCAGATATGTATAAACTTAAGAAATAGTTGCACAAAAGAATCACAAATAATGTTTTTAATTCAGCTTTGATCAATGACTAGAAAGAACCCAAATGTCACTCAATAAAGAATTTATATACTTATATGAAAATATTCCAGCCGACTAATCTATAAAGAATACCAGCATATTGCTACTGTTCCAAAGCATGTCCCATAATATTCTTCCCCTTTCTCTCTCTGAGAGAAAAAGGGGCTTTTTTCTTCAGGGTCAGAGGGGATTGATTGGAAAAACAATAATGTGTTCTATGTACAATTTTTGGTATGGGATTTTCTAACCTAGGAAGACGCAATGTTATGGCCCACAGTGATATTGGGTAACATCAGCTATGTTTTGTGCTTCCAGATCACTTTTGTTTTTAAGAATTTCTTAATATTCTTACAAGTTTGCTTTCAATTTTGATCCTTCATTCCCTTTATTCTTGGGTGCACAGGCTTACCTTTTTCAGCCTTTGTCTTGTCACCAGCCATTCCTCTTTGGTGGCCATGTACTTGGAGAAGAGGCCGCATGAACTTTCTGGCTCCACTCAATGTCTAAGGACACCCCATTTTCCTTTGCTTGCATCCCACAAACAATTTTCCTCATCCTGTTACTGCAGCAGATCTTTCCTGAGTTGATGAGATCGTGTTGATCTCCCTGAAAACCCCCTATCTCGAATGGCCTGTCATTGTCTGCCTTTAACTTCCCCCACCCCTCCTCTTTAAATAATGATGGGGCTGAATTATTCCCAAAGCTCACCCTACCCATTGTTTCCTCGGTACCTTGCAGAAAGCACCAAAAAAATATATCATTTTAAAGAAGTGTATGATTTTTTCATTAGAATGGAAGCTCCTCAAGAGTAGGGACATAGTCTTCTGTATGATCTATTGTGCCTATTCCACTTTAAATGCTCAATAAATATTGATGATGAGAGGCAGTGAGTCTTGGTGATAAGGGGGAGGAGCTGAAATACCAATCACCGTTTTGTTGCTTGTTTGCTTATGACCTCAGATTAAATTGGGAAGTATCAGCCCTTGGAGATGATTATCCCAAATGTTGCATTTGAATAAAAGTACAGTGAAAGCTTTGGGGTCTTTGAAGGAGAAGAGATCTCTTAAGGCTTTTGGGAAAACACTGCATCTTCACTCTTCTTGTACTGATTTCTTCTGACACCCCTGGCCAGAACATGAAGTCATCAATTTACAGATAAGAAGAATTACATTAAGTCTGAGGAGGTGGGTCACATTCAAGTAAATTATAAATAAATTCTACAGCTTGTCAAAAAAAAAAGAATAGCAGCAGTGCTTAATGGTTTGCATCAAATAAAAAATAGAAAACAATACAAATTCAAACATTTTGCACTCTCCCAAAGAAAAATTATATAATAAAGTCATTTATTGAAAAAGAGTTATCTATAGAGTCAACTGGGAGAATAAGTCAGAAAGGAGGGGAAAACAATGGGAGAAAGATTTTTCACTCTTTACCTTTTCTTATAGTTTTAAAACTGTTTAACTGTTATAAACTCAACTTCTAAATTAAAATGCTGCTATAATTAAAATACAAGGAGATGGGGACCAACTTTACTGTGTGTAACCCAAATAATAACAATTGGGCACCTCATCCAGGCTCTTTATCTTACAGATGAGAAAACAAAGTCCATCAAAGCAAATGACAGTAGGAAAATAGCCTGCAAACAACAGTTCAAGTTTTTTGACTTTCCCAAATAGGAAAGCTCTACTATCAAGTTGTCTTTCTAAACATTTCCCAACCTTGCTCAACCTCAGCCTTAAATCATGCCAACAGCCAGCTGAAGATATTTCTCAGAACTGGTAAACACTTAGATTGGCTCATCCCCTGATCCTTCTACCTGAGATTATGCATTTTATTGACTGCTTCTATCCTTCCTCCTCTTTAGGAAAAATCCCAGCTAGTCCATTCACCCTCATGTGTCTCCAGCCTGCTTGCATGCATGAGTCTCCAACTCTGCCCTCTGCTAAGAAGCCCTGCTCTCAGGAGCCAGATAGAACAGCAGGTAAGGCGCTTGCCTTGCACATGACCAATCAGGGTTTGATCCCTGGCATCCCATAAGATCCCTTGAGCCTCACTAGCAGTGATTCCTGAACTCAGAGCAAGGAGTAAACCCTAAGCATTGGCACGTGTAGCCCAAAATAAAAAATCCTGCTCTCTGCAGTCCAGTGAACATTCTTCTCCTTGGGAGTTCAGTCAACTAAGCACAACTTAATGCTACTTTTTTGCTCAAACAATGAGAATAATAATAATTCAATGACCTTGTGAATTGTAACACATTGAGATCTGATAGTCTTCCCCACTTTTAAGACAACCACCTAGTATGAATTAAAAGACACCAATAAGGAAAGCTGATACTCTCTGGTGGTGAGTGTGTCAGGAGAACAGCATATGCTTGAAATACTACCATTAACAGTTCTGCAAATTATAGCACCTAAATGAAAATCCAGAGAAAAAGTAAAAAAGTGAAAAAAAGTAAAATAGAAAAGATCCTTATTAGCCAATCAGAGTATTTGTTCATTTTGTGAAAAATTATGTCACTCATATGTATATATACATATTAGTCTTTATTATTTTTCTAATAAAATTTTAGAAAATATTTTCATGACATTTTGTTATTCAGAACTTTATGTTCTAGTAATAATGTCTTAAATCATGTTGTTTAAAGAAATAATCACAGCCTTCTCAAAGGCATAATTAATTTTGTTAATGCTTTATTGCTTAAGCTTCCAGGAGGATCTTGCAAAATATTTTTTGCAAGTATTGATTGAACCAAATTGTTTTTGCTTGACAACCTTAATCAATATGGCATTATCCTGATGGTAAAGTTGATGCAGAACTGAGCCACTTGGTCCCAATAAGCAGTAGTCTCATTGTTATATAGTCTTATTGTTATACTGCCCTATAGTCATATTAATATTAACCAGAATTCATGTGAACTAAGGTACAGTGGCTACCCTAAGAATCTGAATCTAAACTAGAGATTTGGAGATCACACGAGATAAAGAGAATTTTCTGGAAAAACATTAAATAGAAGGAATACTCCTTCCTTCACCTACACATAATCTTGTATAAATGGTCCTATTGCAATGAAGGGATAAATTTTAGAGAATGTATTAAGACATTAAATCTGTTACTATCATCCCGTTAATCATCGATTACTCGAGTGCTACTGGCCCCCGCTCGAGTAAGACATTAAGTAGAAGGAAGAATGAGCTTTTTTTGTACTTACAGTTTTTAAGTCAGCTTGAAGTACCGAATTGATGTATGTTGGTAAGTATACTATAAGGACATGAAATTGCCAGTATTCACAGAAAATACAAATTAAAATGACCCAAAGCGGTATGGATTTGAGCATAGCCTTAATGGGAACTGACCATCCTGGTGGGCCATCCTGGAATAAAGCATACATCAATATTCCTTCTATCAGAAGACAAAATATTTGCACTATTGCACCCTTCACCTCTGAAACATCTAGATAGATGTGTGGAAATAGTAGAAGACTTCCTCAATGCACCTCTTGAGCCAGTGAAGATTCGATGTACTCCTTCTCAGCCGTGCTGATGAATGGATGATTTCTGGGTTTCTCAGAAAAAAGAGAAAACCAGGTAAAAGAACAGACACAGCCCACTCCACCTAGGAAAAGAGGATTCAGTTAGCACTGGACTGGAATTCTTTCGGCTTGACTTTACCTGAGGATGATTTCTGTGCCTGACAGAATAAATGGCCCGAACATTCTACTCCTCCCTTCACCCTTCCATACTCTTGTATGAATGGCCCTATCACAGTGAAGGGATAAATTTTAAAGAATGTATTGAATAGCGATAGCACAGCGGTAGAGCATTTGCTTTGCATGCAGCCAGCCAGGCAGAGCCGGGTTTGATTCCTCCACCCCTCTCGGAGAGCCCGGCAAGCTACCAAGAGTATTTCGCCTGCATGGCAAAGCCTGGAAAGCTACCCGTGACGTATTCAATATGCCAAACACAGTAACAGCAAGTCTCAAAAAAAATGGAGATGTTACTGGGCCTGCTCGAGCAAATAAATGAACAACGGGAGGACAGTTTGACAGTGTATTGAATAGAGAGATAACTAAAAATATAATTCATACAAGTAACATCTCTATATAATTATGAAAAAAATTCCATTGGGGTCTTTTGTGGGCTCGAATTAGAAGCAAGAATTAATGTTGCAGCATAATTTAAACTTAAAAAAGAAAAACGTGCCATCTTTTTTCCCCTCAAGATTGCTTTAGTCAATCAGGTAATTTTATTACTTCATATAAATGTTAACAGCATTTCATCCATGTCCCTGAAAATATCTTATTTGGGGAAAACACATACCCGTTGCTGATCTGGGCTTACTCCTGTTTCTATACTCAGGGATCACTCCTAACCATGATAATGAGAACATATTTGGTGCTGGGGATCAAACTCAGATTGGCCATGTGAAAGACAAGCACCTTACCATGTGAAAGACAAGTCCTATCTCTCTGGCCCCATCACAGGAACTTTTGATGGGAACTGCATTAAATTTTTACGGTGTTCGCAGTACGATTTTTTGGTGGGGTCACACCCGGCGATGTACAGGGGCTACTCCTGGCTCATGCACTCAGGAATTACTCCTAGTGGTGCTCAGGGAGCCATATGGGATGCTGGGAATGGAACCTGGGTCAGTTGCAAACAAGGCAAATGCCCTACCCGCTGTGCTATCACTCCAACCTCAGGATGATTATTTTTACTGTTATTCCTTCCGATCTATGAACAGGGATGTGTTTCCATTTGTTTTTTTTTTTCAATTTCTTTTCATCCTTATCTATAGTGTTCTTTGTATGTCTTTCACCTCTTTTGTTAAGGTGATTCCCATATCTTGATGGGGGGGGGGGGCGGGGGGGGGGAAACGAAGGGACATAATCGGTTTCATTTATTTAGTTCTGGAGGTCTTCGGCTGCCAGAGCCCTGGTCAGAGCGGGGAGGAAAACTCAACCCACTCCCCTCCAAGGGGCCCTGGCGAGGACAGCCAGGCACGGGGCAAGAGACTCTACTCGGATAGGGACTGAGCATCCTCCACCCAGGTCCTCCAAATTCCAGTAGGCGGGGGTCACACCCACCAATTGGCCCCCTGGCACTTTGTAATCCCATCAACGGCCGAGCGACATCTTATCATCTCATTCCTACTTTGAACAAACTGGCAGGCTACCGAATGTAACCTGCCCACACGGCAGAGTCTGGCAAACTCCCCATGGCGTACCCAATATGCCAAATACCAGTAACAATGAAGGGTCTCATTCTCCTAACTCTGAAGGAGCCTTGAATATGGCACTTTTTTTAAAAGTCTCAGGGCTAGGACGAAGGAAAAGTTACTGGGGCCTGCTGGAGGCAATCGACGAATAACAGGATGGTCGTGATTGTGATTGTGATTGTGATTATTTAGTTAGCATGAAATTATAGTTATTCATAGTTGGGTTTCAGGTATATGATGTTTCAAAACCAATCTCTTTATCAGAGTCCACTTCTCTCCAACAATGCCCCTTCTCTCATTAGCTTCCCACCTACCAGTCTGTTTCTACAAGAGAAGCTTTAAATAAAAAAACACGAATTTTTTGCCCTGTGATTTACAGTACTGTTGCTGATAGGGTTTCACACATCAGCTCCTTTCAGCACCACCTCCTCCCAGCTGAGCTCTTGGAGAACACAATTTTTACTAGGATTTTTAAAAATATTTTCTGTCTCTGCTATTTTATTATTTGGATATCAATTAAGATCTTTTATTGTGATCTTTAATCCATTTTTAGTTGTATTGTGGATGATGTGATATAGGAATCCAAGTTCTTTTCTTTTCTTTTTTTGCAAGTGACTAGCCAGTTTTTGCAAGACTAATGAAGGTGCTTTCTTGTTCCACTCTATATGCCTAGATGCTTTGTTGAAAATTAACTATCCATACACCCAAGTTTCTGTCTCTGGGACCTCAATTTTATTCCATTAATATGAAATTATCACTTAATTACAGTGCCACACACAGTCTTGATTACACAGTCAGAGTTGTTATGATTTTATACCCAGAAACCCTGAGGAGTATACAAAAAAAAATCCTAGATACAATAAACATGTATATTAAAGTGGCAGGCTAAAAAATCAGCACACAGAAATCCATAGTATTTCTATATCCAGAGACTCCCAACTGAATCCCAAAATGGATTAGTGCCATACAGAGATGTCTCTGGAACCCAAATATTTACAATATAGAAATTAACATTTACAATTACAGCTATGCAAGCTTTGCAATATTCGAAAAATAAGCTATGGAAAATATATTTTCTAGTGTCTGCCCCTGGTAGGTAGGCTTGAATGGTGGTGGGAAAATTCGAGCAAAATTAATGCCCAAAATTAGAGAGTATTGGGGAGATTGGTGTAGAGGCAGGTTGCGATGTGTATGTGTGTATCAGGGGGTGATACTTGAGACATTGGTGTGGTAAATGTGCATTGGTGGAGGGATGAGTGTTCCATCATTGTACGGCTGAATCTCCAAAATTAAAGCTTTGTAACCCTATCTCACGGTGTAGATATATCTCAAAATGGATTTGCTTGAGCAGGCCCAGTAATGTCTCCGTTGTGAGACTTTGCTGTTACTATGTTTGGCATATTGAATACGTCATGAGTAGTATGCCAGGCTTTGTTGTGCGGGCAAGATACTCTCGGTAGCTAACCGGGCTCTCCAAGAGGGGTGGAGGAATCGAACTCGGGTCAGCCGGGCTGGCTGCATGCAAGACAAATGTCCTACCACTGCGCTATGTGGAGTTCATGCCCAATTCAATCCGCTTAATCAATGGCTGAACAAATAGCAGTACTCCTACATTATTTTTTAAAAAAGAAAATAAAACAATAATTTTGATATAAAAAATGGGAGTTAAGCACCTATAAAACATTAAAAATACTGAACTAAATGGGAGACTAACACCGAAGAATAGTAGAGATAAGTACCAGGAGGATTACTCCACAGCTTAAAAGCCAGCCTCACACGCTGGGGAAAAAGGCAGCTCAGATAGAGAAGGGAACACCTAGTAAAGGGTGCTAGGAGAGCCCGCTCAGGATGGGAGATGCAGGCTGACTATAGACCGAATATGATGGCCACTTAATACCTCCATTGCAAACCACAACACCCAAAAGGAGAGAAAAAGCAAAAGTGAATGCCCTCTACAAAGGCAGGGTGGGATGGAGGGGACAGAGTAGGGGTATTGAGAGGGATGCTGGGACCATTGATGGTGGAAAATGGGCACTGGTGGAGGGATGGGTACTCAATCATTGTGTGAAACGCAAGCATGAAAGTTTGTAAGTCTGTAACTGTGCCTCATGGTGATTCACTGATAAAACATTTTTTTAAAAAAAATAAATAAAAAATAAAAATACTGATTTGAACCCAGGACTCAGCTTTCTCCACGTATGTGCCCCAGGCATCCTCTAGGACCCTGGGATGCTCACCATCCCTGAACCTCTTCCAGTTCATTCCCAATGCTGTACCCGGTCTTCTTCCTCCCCCAGGTTGTACTGCCCCACACATACCAGGTACCCGTAGGGGGCATGGCCTCTTCAGAAGTGGGCGTGGCTTCTGAAGAAGTGGGAGTGGCCTAATTTTGGGCTGGTGGATGCTCACACGGCTGCAGGTAATCTACTCATACCCAGCAATCTCAAGTAACATCTCAGTTTCCATACCTCCACACCAACAATGCAAATGCCCACCACGCAGGGAGAATGATGAAAAGAATCCAGAAGCCTCAGTAGGTGCTACTCATCTAAGGGACCTCTCTGAGAAAGAATTCAGATATGAAGAAATGAAGATGTTCAATGAACTCAATGAAACAGTAAGACAGATATCCAGTAAATTGAATGAGGACATGAAAGAAACAATGGATCGGACAATCGAGAAAATCCAGGAAGAAATGAGAGCAGAAATTGGAAAGCTACACACAGAAATGTCATTAATAAAAGATTCTATAGATGAAATAAAAAACTCAGTCTGTGCTCTCAACGGTAGAATGGCCACAGCTGAAGTCAGAATCAGTGAGCTGGAAGATCAGCTGCACCAAGCCAACAGGCAACAACAAACAATGGCAAGAGACCTCAGAATAGTTCTAGAGCAAATCAGAGTCCTAGGAGATGATTCCAAGAGGAACAGCATTAGAATCATTGAAGTACCAAAAGGGCAGGGAACAAATTCCAATGAAAAAGCCATGGTTAACTTTAACAAATTGTGCTGGCAAAACTGGACGACTACATGCAAAAAAATGGGCTCAGAACTCTGCCTAACACCATGTACAAAAGTGAGATCAAAATGGATTAAAGACCTCAACATCAGACTGGAAACCATAAGGTACATTGAAGACAAAGTTGGCAAAACCCTCCATGACATTGAAGCTAATGGTATCTTCAAAGATTTCACGCCACTGGCCGAGCAAGTGAAAACAGAGATAGATAAATGGGACTATATTAAACTAAGAAGCTTCTGCACCTCAAAAGAAACAGTGACCAAAATACAAAGACAGTCTACAGAATGGGAAAGGATATTCATCGAATGCACATCTGACAAGGGGTTGATATCAAGTATATATAAAGTACTGGTTGAACTCCACAAGAAGAAAACAT